CTTGCTAAATGAATAAATTTATCTGATAAAATTCGACTGTCGTCAGTGTTTCGGGTGCAAGTAACCACTTGCAAGAAATAACCGCAAGAAATTGGTTTCTTGCAGCTATTTTTACCCGCAAGAAATGCAAAGTGCAAGAAACTCCTTCCCGCCGCCATAGTTCCGAAGGCGCGTCGCTAGATGGCGCTGTGTTTCTTGCACTTTTTTGCATTTCTTGCACCTTGCGTTTCTTGCATTTCTTGCTTTGCAGTGCAAAAAATGAGAAAAACCCGCAAGAAACGAAACACTGACTGTCGTACTGCTCTTAAATGCTTCAATATAAATAATAACCTTTGTATCACCATCACCATACGTATAAGCAAATTTGCAGTGTGGTAAAATATAGCAATAAAGTAAATAGTTTTTTCTTGGGCTGGTTGTCTGGTGTCTTTGTTAATTCTACGTAATCCGTACTAAATTTTGGCGGCCCTGTATATATAAGTTTAGCAAACGGTGTCAACTTTAATACCAAATTAAATTCAATGCATGCCTTACTGTATCCATTTTCTTACAGTTAAATTACTCATTTCAGGTCTCAAGAAACCTTCACACGTCCAATTGTGTATCCGATTCTTGTACTGGGCAGCAGAAACTAACGGTTTGTTAATTTCCTTGGGAACATCAACTCTCTCATTACTAAGTCCTTGTCAACCTATCCTACTAACATCTCTGCTGTGCTCTGGAAATGGAGAAATCTTGAACACAAAATGCCAAAATACATTAACCTACACAACTCAACTATTCTTGGCGACACTGGAATTCGTAGCAATGCAACATTTAATGACTGGCCTTGTGTACTACACAGGAACCGTTATGATGCAAGGTATCACATTTCTATGGCAGTCAGGGGAAGCTTTCGAAAGGAAAGCCAGGTCAAATGCTTCATTTGTGGAATTGATTAAGTCCTACGAAAAATTGAAGGTTTACGAGAAATTGTTAAACTCTTGCATCAGATCGCGAATCTTTCTCGTCACAGCACTGGTAGTGCCAAGTTTGCAAATTTTATTGTCCTGCACAGGAATACATTCACTGCATTCGGACGATACAAATAAGATCCAGGCAATCTTGTTCCTATGGACTTACATCGTGATCCTTGTGTTCTCGATATTGCTATTTTCTGCGGCTGGACGTATAAACGAGTCGAGTCAAAAATGGATTGCAGAATGCAAGAGGAGATGTCGCAATAGGGTGGAAAAGAGGAGACAAATGTCACTCGTGTTGTTGAGACTGGAATTTGGAAATAATTTTGTTGAACCGTTGACTCCATTGGTGGTCCAAGAATTCTGTGTGAGACAAACCGTGTCATTTCTTCTTTTGAGGAGTTAGAACTTATCGTATAGCAAAAAAATCTGGATGGAACAAAACGCATACACGCATTATTTGAAATATTAAGAATTAATATAACGTTTAGATGAGCAAATAAGGATTAAATGAAAGAAAGGTAACTTTCTGCTTTCTTAAGATCTCGTAACAAAATATTTAAAAACCAATAATCTTAACCTAATCTTTTTGCAAATCCCAATCTTGTTTTTTATTAGCCAAAACATTTGTCTATACTTTTACGACGATAAATGTTCTATTGTAAAAGTCAAATCTCTTTGTGCCAAGCTAAAAATAGAAAGGCCCTTCTCTTATACATGCAAAGGTATGGAGCAGGCCCTTACGCGGTTGCCAAACTGAGCTGGCCCTTCACGCTGTCATATATGACTTCCTAAAAACAATTCAGAAGTTGCAACACCTTCGTGGTGTTTATTTTTAGCTTGGCACAAAGAGATTTGACTTTTACTATAGCACTCTTTATAATGATATGCGGAAGCGCATAAATACAGATATGCATAAATAATTATGTTGTTAATTTTTTAAACCGGTGATTAGTTACATATATAGCAAGGTATAAAAACTTTGTCATTCATCAAGAAATGCAAGCTATTACAGTTTAATTAAAGAAATTTTTCCACACCGAACTCTATTCTATACATATATGTACATATAATATTACATTTATTTATTTGTTTATGCATTAAGTCTACAGGTGATTCAGTAATAACAAGTATATATAATTGTATTGTGTGGATGTGAATTTATTTAAATACCATTTAAATATATTATTATTTAGACGGAAGACCTTTACATATCAAAAGATCTGATAATAAAATAAAGCATGACGTAGCAAAAAATCGTTACCTCATTGACGTCATTCATCAAGTATTATGCAATAATTAATTTTTCGGCGACCTTTTTCTAAATTTTTAATTTCAAGAAAAAATCAGGACGAAACTTAAATTTAAAAATACAGTGTAACATTTGCCCATTCCTCTCACTGAAAATGGGTGGGATTTTCCGTCTCTGATTTTGATTTATTTATCTTTAATTGAGGGCCGACTATTCCCACTCCGCTCACTACGGATGGGAATATCTGTCCGCCAAGGGGAAGGAAATGCTTCTCAAACTACCGGGTGTACTCAGTCGACTACTAGACTGCTAGTAGGATCTTCAGCTGAATTAAGTAGGCAATTTATACAAAATACCTTCCGATTAATTTTATTTCGTGTTTTTATATTGCACGACGAAACATTAATACATCGCTCTTTCTGATGAAGAAATATTGAAACAGTAATCGTAAATCTTAAATAGTTTAAAGGCCAAAAACATTCTAACCGTTTTAATCATCACAATTGTATGGGTGAAAACAATACTTCTACTTTCCACTGTCAGAACCAGAATGGCGAAAGCAATAACAATTACGCAAACATAAAACAATGTGGTCACACCGTCAGTCATTGGCATTGCATCATTTTCCTTAATTTTCGATGTCTTATTCACAATACTACCTATGCTCTTTATTACCCGATCTAGGCCTTCCTCCCACAATCTTTTGTAGATTCCACTTTCCACAATATTTAGAAAATACGTCATAACCTTGGAATATCCAATATCAGCAAATCTCCAACCTCCAAGTTCTCCATGGAATATCTTTCCACTGTAAAACTGTTTCTGGGGAAACATTACCCTAAAATATTCAAGTTCAACCAACAATGAATTAGAATATGCAATAAAAACAGCTTTACCACACTGTCCAACTTCTAAATCAATTGCTTTGTTTGCCTCAATGGTTTCATTACCCGGAGAATCAGTTATGTTTGGCCCGAAGGCATGTCGTGTATCCATTAGCTGAAATAACAACAAGTAATGGGGAGATTCTAATAAGTTAAAACCTGTATAAATCGAACCGTGGCTTAATGTATCTCTCGTCAAAGAGATTTGATTTAACAGAAACTCATAAAATTCGTAGAGCCGGCCATAATATTCTAACCGACGTGACAACAATTTGAAACAATTACTCGAAACGTTTGCCATTTCACCTCTATTATTTTGAAACCTTTGAGTTTCTGCCGTTGTCCAAATATCATTTAAGGGAATAAAAATACCTAGAAAATACTCTAACCATTCGTGAACCGTAATTTGGTTAGAATCATATTGTTTGAATTTTTGCATCCGCTGGTTATATAAGTGGTGATCACATACCAAGTCTTGAAAATGATTGATTCTAATCGGTGGATATGGAGCGTTTAAGTCCGTGACCATTAAGCTGCTATAGCTACTTGTGAAATTTACCGCAAGCAGCGACCAAGTACCCAGTACGATACGAAAAAAATATTTTTTCTCTATATCCCCAGGAACGGAGGCTGGTTCTTCTAAAACTGATCCCACAATGTACAACCACGGTGAAAACGAGGTACTTCGCATTGCTCCAGATTTAGTCGTTTCGATATAAATTGACATTACCATAATTAGTAGCGGTATTGCTGCCAGTAACGAGTCTAGTATGCCTTTCAGGGGAGCAAACCCGTCAAACTTTTTGGTTTCCGTAGGGTGTGTTGAAATGATGAAATGGGACAATAAATATACAAAAAGGAATATTGCGATTAACATTTCAGTAAATTCTCAGAGCTTGAAATATTTGTATATAATTGCAATCGTTTGAGACAGTAAGAAATATTTTAAACCCATCAAGCGATACCACTAAATACTGTCAGATAACATTAATAAATGATGTGATATTGATCAAAATAAGTCTTTTTATCTTCAAGCTTTCCGTGAGTGGGAGACATTTAATTAATTTAAAACATATGTAAAGTATGCGGCTAAGGGGATTGTCTCTTTCTAAATAAATAATTACAAGGTGGTAAAAGTATGACATGGTAAATGTCATGCCAAATGTCTAAACAGGATTGCACGCATCCAGATAAAAATGTAATTACATATCTAAATATATGCTTCGTGGAATAATTAATTGAAATGGCTAAGTTATTACAATAGATAGCTGAGAGAGCAAGTTTTTCATTATATGTACATGAGATACTAATCAGGATTTTTTATAGCAATGTTATGTTCTTTAAACTTTTTTTTAACTTTAATCATAATTATGCATGCACATTTCCATTTTGCAAAAATTCTCAATTTGCTCGAATAATGTAGATCCATGGAACCTACAAGTTTGTTTTATGTATGCACACAAAACAAACTACGTTTTGGGAATACAATTATCAAAATACTTACAAAAAGCCCTCCCCGTTCATGAGTTTTTCTAACCGTGCTACCGTGCAAATCGGATCTGCGATCTTGTATTTGGCAGTTTTCTTGCACTACACGGCAAGCGTGTTAATCGCCATTATAATTTTAATGCCGAACACGGACTAACAATAAACAAGAAAATTTAATAAAAATAAGCAAAATTTACTCAAGGTTGAGTAAAAAAGAGGACGACAAAATCAAAAGGTAACATTTATTCAACCGATGTGCAAAATTTGTCAAATATTGTGTAAATTTTTCCAACGGGTGGACAAATTTTGCACAACGTTGCACAAATTTGAACCCTTAGTGGTGTACTCAACCTTGAATATATTTTACCTATTTTTTAGAGTGTGGGTAAAAAAAATATTAAGCTAGGACAACAAACATAAAAAATACTAGGCACAGTTTATGCGCATATTTATTTTCTCGGACCTTTCAGTCAAACGGATAATTTTTTCAAGGTGGACCCCCTTGACTTTATTAAGTGCGTACAGGGTATAAGCCGGGCTGGGAATGAGAAACTTCAGTATGGGCATCTTGTTGATCAAGCTGTTGTGTGAAATAAGTGTGATTCTTGTCTGACAGGGATCTATTTAAATATGCAGGCAGAATTAATTATTGTCTTCAACTTAAATAAGTTTTGTATGTAATTGTGGAGGAGGAGAGCCTCCGTACTGGCCAATAACAGATTTCTATGCAAGTTGGATACCCGATGAGTGCACTAAAACGCACTAATTCGATTCATTTACCCCCGCCCCCCCCCCCCCCAAAAAAAACACGAAAATCAATATCTTTTCACATGCTCGTCAAAATTACAAATTCGATCCGAATTTGAAAGCTTTCCACCATTACATTCCAGAGAGTCGTTTTATAATATCCAACACCTAAAATTAACCTTTCAAATTTTTAGAGTAGGTATTTGGTGACTCAAAAAAATGAAAATTTTTGAAAAAAACTGGGTTTTGTACTTGATATGATCGTGCAACTATTTACTTTGCGTCTGGAAGTATGTTTTCAAGATTCGAGAAAAACAAGGTTTTTGTCGAGGGTTTGATCAAGTGGGACAATTTTCGTGTTTCTGTAAAAAAAGGCGAAAATACCCCGTCTTTAACTTTTTTTTGATGACTTTGAGCAGATGTTTGCATAGTGCACGCGGATACTATTACATGTAAAATAAGGTCATCACGATCTGCTATTGGCAAGTACGGAAGTTCTCCTCATTATACCTAAATACTTACTTGTACTGTGTGGATGGTAGTGGTAATTGGCGTCTTTCGGGTTTTTACTAAATCCTAGCGATGATCTCAGCTGCTTCAGATAAGATTTGCCCTGCAGGCTGAGGGAGATCACGTGAGGATGAATTTCAACTTGCGTAATAGACTGCATTGGGATACAACACTTCACAGGTGTCCTTCCTGGATTTTACAGAGACATAGTACTTTTTAGCATACTTATGCAAATAGAAATTCAGCGTACTCAGGTAGTCAACCTTTGCATATGTCGCAAATTGAGCTCAGCACTTGCGAAATTTAGCAAAACTTTGCTGGGAAACTATGGAATTTTTTTTTCGCAAATTTACCCAGCAATCGGGCATGTTCTTATTTCACAAAATTATTTCCCAACCTCATCCTCATCAATCAATAAAAATTAAATTACAGAAATCTATATACGTAAAATATGACTTCGCAAATTTGCTAAAAACACTTATTTAACGTCAAAATAAGCGTTTCTTTGTAGATTTGCGAAGTCATATTTTGCGAATCCCCTCATATTTTTTTTTGATTTTTGCAAGTTTCCTGAATGAGTTGCAATGCGAAATACGACGTTGTCGTGAGTACGCTCGTAAAGAATTGTATCATAAAGTAAATAAATGTACCGCATTGAGTGTGCAACATTGCGAATTCGATCCCGTTCTGGCAAATAGTCGCAAGAATAAAGCCACCCTGACCTGCAGCCTGAGCTCGATAAGTCCCCACGTTGATGGTGCGACACTGAAGGGTTATCTTCGTGTCGGGTGAAAAATTAGATGGTGCTGGTTTCCTGACGGTAGGTGCTAATTTTTCGGATACGACCTGAATTTCGTCATCGTCTTCATCCAAGTTAGATTCTGGATTTGACAATATTAAAATCTGTACAGCTAATTAGGGTTCTATGTCATATGTAAATGTCATAAGTGTCAGACACTTGTGTCAATGTCGGACATTTATGGCAATTGACATTTACTGAAAATGATATAAACGTGGTGCCATTTTTGACATTAATGACAAACTGTACCGTTTAAATTAAAATAAGGTTGCTTAACTACATATGCGTATGTTGAAGTTAACTTCAAGCCGGATGACCGGATGGTCTAAATGTCATCACTTCTGTGTCGTAAATGTCATATTTGTCCGATATTTATCAAAAGCTAGATATTTAAGATAAAAATCACATTTATGACAGAAGTTCTGACATTCAGGTTGAAGTTAACTTCAACGTAGTTCAACAACTGTAATTTAATTTAAGCGTTATAAATAGTTTTTCATAAATGTCAAAATTTGACAAAACGACACGACACCGACATTGTACAACCCTACATCTAATTACTCTTGGATTTGTGCTCGTTGTCCGAATTTATACCTTGACTTACACCCAAGTTATCGCCCTCGTTCCCACCATGTTTGGACGAAAAGGCGTCGACAAGTAGATTTTCGTATGGCTTTTGATGTGGGACCTTAATAATCTTGACGATTTCGCTATTTGAGGATGATTGAGTTCCATTCTCGGGAAGCGATGATTTCAATTTTTTCGTGGGTCTTTTGCAAAGTGACTCGTCCAGATCAACGTGTTTTTCGGTCTGGGATTAATGTTTAAAATTTAAAGTCATAATCGCTTGAATTAATTAAATCAGCATGTTTTTAAATTACTTACATCCGTTTTCTTAAATTCTTTGATGTTGACGGTTTTTGTAGAATTCGACAATCGAGCTTTGCAGTACTCGCAGTACTGCAAATCTCTCGATCGCGTTCCACACTTTGGGCAGACGGCTTCTGTGATGAATCGTTCTCTCTAAAAAAATAATCGATATGTGAATGCATTCTGTTTAATTCTTTATGTTCAAAGTAGACAAATTTTCTTAGGAAATACCTGACCAGATGTGGTTGGCAGAAGTCGAATAATATTTTGTGGTGGTTGTACTCGAATAATTGTTGGTGGAGCAGTTTCAGGGTCCAACGTACTGCAATTTTTTGAGGGTAAATCGCCCCCCGTGGAGTAATCTGATGGCAAAAAAGCTTCCGTGGTTTCAGCCTGGGTAATAAATTGGTCCCTGGTTCTTTTTGGGATGCCGTTCTTATTATCGTTGTCGTCGGGAAGGATCATTTCCGTATCGCGATCGCTACCCTGGTCCGAAAATGAGCATAAAGCCCAGTTCTCGACATTTTGTTCTTCTTCTTCTTTCAGTTCTAGTTTTAAAAAGCTGTCGAAAAATAATAATTAGTCTATAATCGATCTTAAAATAGTTAAAATTAATTGTAAATAATTGTCTTAATTGCAAATAATTGTTATAAATCTTCAACCACCTTGACATATCTTCACTTTCAGTGCTTTTGGTTTTCCCCTCCTTCGCATTTTCGACCACTGTTCCATTCTTCCGGGTTTTGCTCCAGGGCCCAGGACGTTTATATTTGATTTCTACGTATGCAAATTATAATTTCCAATAAATTAATTTAAATACACAGTCTAAATACTATTTAAAATTTGCATTTCCGTCCCACCTGGTTTCCAGATTATCTCCTCCCTAACTTTTCGCCCTTCAGTCAAGTAACTTGGATCAGCAGGATCGTCATCTTCATAATTAACAATTACTGGTTTTACGTCATCATCGTCACTGGCAGGATTTTCATCCTTATCCGTGTCAAGTGTTTCAGCTTCCTGTTCATCTGCCGAAAGTGTAGACGATGAGTTGGTCTCGTCCTCGTCATTCAAAACGTCTAGATCTATTTTTTTAAGTGCACACATTATTTACTTTTCAATTTATAAGTTTATTTAATTGCAATTTGCAAACTTTTATGTAAATATAAATAAAAACCTGAATCGCTCTTTCTCCCCGCAATTTCTTGATATTTCATCTTTAACTTGATTAATTTCGCCAGCGCCTCCATCGCCACGGTCAATTGATTAATTTCCTCCTTTAGTTTAATTAATTGGTCCAAATGTTGGCGACAAGGGTCACAAGTTGGCAGACTTTTCCGATTCCCACGGCATTTCACGAGCTGGCGGAAGGAACAAAGTTGTTTTTTCCTTATGGGGCGATGGCCTAGCGACGACGAGCCACAAATTGAACACTTTTTAATTATTTTTGACTTTGACATATTTTTTATTTCAAAGTCATTAACAGTTTCACTTAATTCGAATTGTTTCGTGTTCCGATTGAGGAGCACGATGACTGGAGAAATAGACTCCATAATAATTGAGCTATTTTATAGATCAGTTAATACTCTAGTAAATTTTTGTGTTAATATTACAAATAAAATTAATTGATTATTGTGAAATGTTTACATTTTATTCGAGCAGCAGCTGAGACCCGCTCTGGGCAATGCTGGACTGGACTCGGTATGAATTTCTCTTCATGAAAAAAGGGACCGTGCAAAAAGGACATGGTCAGTTTTGACAACATTTTAACCTTTCAAGTATATTTATTTTGTTCCTGATAACTTATCAGGGATAAGTCAGATACTGAAGGATGCAGCTCAGGGTTTTAAAATGAATTTTACGATTAGTTCAGTACGCATCATGCATGCATGGCCCCCACCGTGTTTGAGCAGTTGTTGCAATGCAACAATTCCTCTTTACATAAGTAAGTGAAAGTAAAAATATTGAATAGTTTCTGAGAAAGATGATAAATATAGAAATTCAACAGTCTCTATTAAAGACTCTTTAATTTCTTTATTACCGGCAGAAATACCCAAATGGAAAATAAATTTTGGGCTTAAATACGAGCATAAACATGTTTTACATCGAATTTTTTTGCATAATGAAACTAAGTATTTGCAGTTTTATAAATTACCAAACTTATGTATCAACTTATTGAAAGTTGACATATCTAAGCGTTTATATGTATCACACTTAAACACAAATTACGACATAATTAACACTCTCATGCAGTTACATACGCAGTTGTCAGAATGAGTGACATGTTTGGAAATAGAAAGAGGAAATATGGATAATTATGGAAAGTGCATGGAAAATGTAGTTAAAATTAAAATTAAAATGTCGAAGCTTAAAATTATCAAAAATTATTGAATTGTTTTTTTCTGAAAAATTAAACAAAATTGACAAGTATGTATTTGCAATACAAAAATAGTGAATATCTAAATGTTATCCTCTTAAACTTAACCAAACCGTTGTTCTAATGAAGTTGATTTACATAAACTCGCACACTTAAAAATCAATCGTCAGAAATCCATCATCATATTTAGCACACTTAATTCTACATTTCACTAGTTAGTAACTAGTAGTTACTCATAAACATTAACAATTATGCTATCAGTGGCGGGTATAGCCAGTTAGGGGCCCCTAGGTGACTTTTTCGTGATGATTTATTTAGTATACTAACCAATGTGCAGACTGGGTTTCTTCGACTTTAATTTTAAATTGCTCAGCAACAAAGAAGCCTACAGTTTTGCTTATTAATGCGCTTGTTTTCGCATGTGGCGGAATTTTTAATTAAATTTCAGTCAAACTAAGGATTTTTCAAAACCCTATTACTTTTCTTATTTCAAGCCGATATGACAAGTTTAAAAAGTGGATTTCTAAAAATTACCTACCTCAAATTAGGAAAATACATTTCTAAATTCGTCTGATATTTAAAATTTGCATTCATGTATTTGACAATTTTAGGAAATGCAAAAGAAACTCAAATTACTGAAAATTTGATGTTTTTGAGAAGGAAATTTTGTAAAGTTATATAATGTAATTCTGAATAAACGTGTACTTCAATGATTGAAATTTGTTTAAAATTTGAAATGCTGCAGTTTTTTAAAAAGTCATGAGCAACTCATGATGAGACGCTGAAAATAATCAAAAATTCCTTCACGGGTGGCAAAACTCGTATTCAACTAAATGCAAAATACGGGTTCTCTCATTTATTTATGAGAGTGAATAACTTAAAGATATTCTTTAAGTTAGTTCGGTGAAAATGTCATGAGCATGCCTGAGTTAAGTTAGCAGCCACACGTAATTTTGTCGATTTAATTAAATTATTAGTTCTAGCTTGACGGTGATAATTACATTATTTGCAAAGAGTTAATCTGACTTTCGTTCGGCAAGACGGGAAGCCAAGAATTCGCAACCCGAGTAACCGATTAAAGAATAGATTGAGAGAAATGTTATAATTTAAACAGAGCAAATTATTTTTTATTTGACCAAATAAGTATGCACAAAAACATGACTCGCAGGAATACGTTAAAAATCGTGTAATTTGGCTAGCCTGTCAAGGGGCCCCCAATTTTATTAAAAATTATTTATCTGGCAACAGATTTTGCGGAATCACGTGCAAAAATTATTGGAGCCCTTAAATAGTACGTTTTTCGTTTATGTCTACTTTATCTACGTATATATGTAGCTGCTTAACCACTTGCTCGGGGTTTCGCAAATTACTTGGAACATGAGTACATACCACCAATTAATTCTTATATTTGCATTGCCGTAGTATCAGTGAATTTATTTTAGAAATTCGCTGGCAATTCTTGTAAAAATTTACGTATAGTCCCACCCTAGACTATGCATGCGGGACCCCGCTGCGTGAGGGCCTCTACGTCACAAATACCTCACCTTCCCCGTTTACCTGGCACTGCACCGAGATGACGGCCGGCCTGGGGGCCCCCGCTGCGCGGGGGCCCCTAGGTGTCACCAATGTCACATACCCGGTTTACCCGCCACTGTATGCTATAAATAAATCACTTAAAATATAATATTATCACTGGCGCCTCATTCCCCCGGGCAACTGCCCGCCCCTGGAGCTAGATTCCGGGTTTTATTAGGCTTTCCAGTCAAACGGATGATTTTTCCGGATTGGACCCCCCTGACTTTATGACGTGCATAACGCGTATAAGCTGGGCTGGGAATGAGAAACTTTAGCACGGGCATCCTGTCCTTCATATTGTCGTGTGAAACAAGTGTAATTTTCTTCTGACGGGGATCTAAATATGCATGAAAAATAGTAATTAGTGTTGAACTTAAATAAGTTATATAATCTTACAAGGGAAACTTCGGAGGTGCCCGTCGTGTTCAGGGTACCCACTGTTTTTAGAATCTACTAGGACCCTGAAGGGATTTTAGATGAAGGATTCATTCATATTTTAGTGCAAAACTCATATTTGGCGCCACATTCGCCAAATTTGAATGGTTATAATTTTAAAACCGCCATAAGTATAGAAATCCTCGACGGAATTTCACAAGTCTTGACTAAAATCATGACAAAAAATTCATCTTTAGTTTGCACTTCGAACGGAAATTATTCAGAAGATTTAATTATTCAAAAACAACAAAAACAGATTTTGTTTTTGCAAAACTCTAGGACATTGTGGTTTGTAAGTTTTTCTTAGAATTTCGACTTTTGTGATCATATTAGGCATCAAATTGTGAAAATGCAACAGAAATTGCGAGTTATGAAGTTGGTGGAAAATTAAAATTTTAAAATTTTCCATCAGCCAAAAATAAGTTGTTCACGGAAATATGAACCGATCCTTCATTTTGGGTTCTATGTAGATTCCAAAAACATGGCGGGCACCCTGGACACGACCGACACCTCGGAAGCTGCCTTTATTAGACCGACATACTTTTACTGTGAGGATGATAGTGGTAGTTGGCGTCTTCAGGATTGTCGCTAAATCCTAGCGACCTTCTCAGCTTGTCGAGATAAAATTTTGCCTGCATGGTGAGGGAGGCCATGTGGGGATGAATTTTAAATCGGGTAATGGACTTCATTGGTATGCAACACTTTACACCTTTCCTTCCTAGATTGGATAACGTTAACAGTTTACACATGTTACCTTTTAGCATACTCACGTCAACATTCGCATATATACATATCTCGCAAATTTAGTATAGCAACATAACTTGCGAAGCTGTGTGAAATTTATGTAACAAAACTTCTCTAAATATGATTTTTTTTGCAAATCTCTATCATAGATCGCGAATCACATCAGGACAATTTTTTTTTATGTTTGTAAAATTTGCTACGTACGTTGCGATGCGAAATAAGACGTTGTCCTGAGTATGCATACGCTCATTAAAATTGTAACATCAATTAAATAAATGTACCGAATTGAGTGTGCGGCATTACGAATTTGATCCCCTTCTTGCAAATGGTCACGGGAAGGAAGCCAGTCAAACCTGCAGCCTGAAGTTGATAAGTCCCCACGTTGATGGTGCGACATTGAAGGGTTATCTTCGTGTCGGGTGAAAAATTAGATGGTGCTGGTGCTAATTTGTCGGATACAACCTGAATTTCGTCGCCTTCATTCGGTAAATATAAAAAAAATATAAACGTATGTACATATGTACTTCCTCATTTTTTTTGTGCTGTTGGAATTTATACCTTTACTTTCACCATCGTTATTGTCCTCGTTGCCACTTCCGGAAGTTTGTTTGGACGACGATGCTTCGTCCATGACTGCATTGCGACGCGACTTTCGGGGTACCGTAATCTTGACGATTTCTTCAGTTTCTGAAGATGATTGAGTTCGAGTCCGGCTCTCAGGAAGCGATGATTTCCAGTTTTCCGTACACATTGCCCTTTCAAGCTGGAATTAAAATTGAAAAAGTCAAGTCATACAATGTCACTTTAAATAAATGATTTCAAATTACAACCATTTCGTTAACATTGATAATTTTTATAGAATCCGAGAATCGAGTTTTACAGTACTCGCAGAAATGCAAATCTCTCGAACGCGTTCCACAGTTTGGGCAGACGGCTTCTGAATCTGGGATGAATCGTTTTCCCTAAAAAAATAATGCCTACATAAGTATTTTGTCAAATTTCTAAGATTTAAAGTAGACTAATTTCCTCACCAAAGTAAATAAATGTGCAGATTGCGTTGGCAGAGGTGGAATAGTATTTGGTCGAATGATCTTTGCAGTTTGAACTGAAGAAGTACTGTGTAAATCGCCCGTGGAGTAATACGAGGGCAAAAAAGCTTCCGTCGTTTCGGTAATAAATTGGTCGTTTTGACTGAAATCTGGGGAATTAAATGGACTGGTTACGGAAGGCTTGTTTGGTACTGAGTGAAACGATGTGGATCCAAGTAGGATTTGGTAATGATTACCGGGTAGGGTAACTGGCAGGGTAAGGGTAAACGGCGCAACTTGTAGCGGTGCATTTGTTGGGATACCGTTATTGTTAACATTGTCGTCGGGAAGGATCATTTCTGTATCGACTCCCTGGTCAAGCTCATTGTCCGAAAATGAGAATAGCGCCCAGTTCTCGACGTTTTCTTCTTCTACTTTTACAAAGCTGTAAAATAAATAACAATTCTCTAATAAATCAACCTTATACTATTAATTATAGTAATTAAATGCAACTACCTTGACATATCTTCATCCTTCATCTCACTCTTTACATTGTCGAGCACCGTGCAATCGTCTCGTTTTCTCTTCCTTGTCTTACTCAAGGGCCCAGGTTTTTTACATGTGATTTCTACATAAGTATGCAAATTGTCATGATCAATTAATTTACATGTTGCATGAAATACTCTGCAATTTACACATTTCTGTCTAACCTGGACGTTTATCTGGGGGCAGGATTATCTCTTCCTTAATAACTCTTTGCTCTTCATAACTGTCAAGGTCGTCATCTTCATAATTCAGAATTAATGGTTTTACGTCATCATTTACGTGGTCGTCGCTGGCAAGATTTTCCGCATGCTTATCAAGGATCAGTGCTTCCTCCTTTTCATTTGAAGATAAGCTCGTCTCGTCATTCAAGTAGTCTGGACCTAATTTTTAAAAAATACGCATTTTTTACTTCCCCATGTAAAAGTTTATGTAGTTAAGTAATTGCAAACTTTTAATATATAAATAAAAACCTGAATCGCTCTTTCTCCTCGCAATTTCTTGATATTTCATCTTCAACTTGATTAATTTCACTAGCGCCTCCATCGCCACGGTCAATTGGTCCATTTCCTCCATCAGTTTAATTAATTGGTTCAAATGTTGGCGACAAGGGTCACAAATTGGCAGACTTTTCCGATTCCAACAGGATTTCACGAGCTGGCGGAAGGAGCAGAGTTGCTTTTTTGTCATGGGGCGATGGCCTAGCGACGACGAGCCACAAATTGAACACTTTTTAATTATTTTTGACTTTGACATATTTTTTATTTCAAAGTCATTAACAGTTTCACTTAATTCGAATTGTTTCGTGTTCCGATTGAGGAGCACGATGACTGGAGAAATAGACTCCATAATAATTGAGCTATTTTATAGATCAGTTAATACTCTAGTAAATTTTTGTGTTAATATTACAAATAAAATTAATTGATTATTGTGAAATGTTTACATTTTATTCGAGCAGCAGCTGAGACCCGCTCTGGGCAATGCTGGACTGGACTCGGTATGAATTTCTCTTCATGAAAAAAGTGGCACGTCGCGATAACCTCGCGACGAGCCACAAATCGAACACTTTTTGATTTTTGACTGGTTTTTAAATGCTTCAAAGTTATTAACAGTTTTATTTTCAACTTGTTTCGTGTTCCGATCGAGGAGCACGATGACTGGAGAAATAGACTCCATCATAACGGATAGTTGCCAATTATTAATTGGCGAAGTTTTAACTTATTACTTTAGTAAATTTTTGTGATAATAGTAAAATTAATTAATTCGTTGAATGTTTACATTTTCAATTTTACTCAAGCAGCAGATGAGAGAGCAGAGACCCGCTGATGAAAACTGGGGACTTCTGGACTCGGCTCGGTATGAATTTCTCTTCATGTAAAAAGGGGCGGTGCATAAAGGACGTGGCCAGTTTTGCCTACATTTTAATATGCAAGTATCTTTAGTTTCTGATAAGTTAGATATTGGGGGAAGTTGTAGTTAACGGTTTTAAAATTAATTTTAAAATTGCTTATGCATGGTACCCATACCGTATTAATTGGTAAAATGTGCGAGTGAGTGCGTCCATGCGTTCGTAGTTAATGCAGTAATAGGTGAAAGTAAAAATATTGACTAGTTTCTGAGAAGTTGTTAAATGTAGCAATGCAACAATCTATTATTTTTGTATTATACCGGCATAAATAGATATTCACATGGAAAATGGATTTTGGGCACAGATTTTGGGCTTAAATACATACCTTCATATATACAAGCATCAACATGTTTTCCATGTAAAATACTTATTTATAAGTATTTCCAGCTTTAGAAATTACCACATTTACGTATGTACTCATTGAAAGTTAGCATACGTACTTGAACCCAAATTGCTACATAATTAACAAGGTCATGCAGTCATGCCGTTATCGGAATGAGCCAAATGGTTTGATGAAATAAGTTTATTATTTAGTACGTCTGTTGAAAGTAGAATCATAGTCTCACTTTGTCTCATTTTCCCCATTTTATTTTATTATTCGAGTATCCCGGTTTGGGGATATTTCATCATCTTTCTGGATCTTTCTGGAAGCGTGGTGAACGTGTGTATGATTGGATTTTTTCTTGGTTTTTTAGTGCAAGTGCGATTGTAGAGTTTGTACTGAATGTGTCTCTCTAAATCTGTTCTCATTATTCTAGTTCAATTTAATAAATTACCTCCAAGGAGAGGATTTTGATTGAACATTTACACGTTTACTTATCTCACTTAATAAGTCACTCGCAGTTCACATTTTTAAACTGAGAAGAAAAGTTAGCTGGTGGTTAATTATTTATCTCTCAACATTAGTGGTGACCTCGACGTGATAGTCGAGTGTCTGTGAAAGTGAATAAGTGATAGTCGTTCCTGATATCAACAAAGTTGTAGGAACATTGTTTTTGGTGCAACCCTTAGCCGACCATCCTGGTGACCAGTGAGAGCTTTGCTGACCTGGCGAGGAGGCAGGAAGGAGTACACCGACGGATATCACCAGTTTTGCCTCTTTGAGGACCCGACCCTGAGTATTCGGGGGATTAGCAGGTGATATCATTTCTTAATTTATCGTTTCCTGACCCAAGTACCGGAGGAGAGCATTGTCGAATCCGTGCGGGAGGAAGAAGACCCAGCCAAAGGACCAGCAGGAGAGACGTTTGTTGTAGTTATCACACGTTGTTTGATTTGCCTCTTTGAGGGCCCCATTCTGAGCATTCAGGAGTTGATGAGGTCGTAGCGTTCGAGAGGGAATTCTACACGTGTATATACTAATTGTTTCTTTCTGTTTGGGTTTGTTGTTTACTGAGATTCGCTGCGATGGACCGGCTGAAGAGGAGGAGAGCTCCACTGCGGGCAACCATCACAAAAACCGTAAACGACATTGATGAAGAACTGGAAAACGACCCACCAGATCAAGAAGTTCTCAACCTGAAACTGAACAAGTTGGGGAGGCTGTTGACAGAAGTGGGGGACCTGGACCAGAAGGTTAAAGATGCAATGTTAGATGCAGATTGCACCGATGCCGAATACGAGGCAGAAATCAACGTCATTCAAGATTATGAAGACAAGATTCATGCTACGCGATTCAAAGTGGAGAAAGTGCTTCGACCAGGAGGCAAAACTCCCAGCCCACCAGCGAGTTTCTACAGTGTAGAGTCTGAAGGACATCAGAAGAAGACCTTCAAACTTCCCAAGATTCAACTGAAGAAGTTTAGTGGGGATTTGAAGGAATGGCTAGGGTGGTGGTCTCAATTCTCTAAAATTGACGAAGATGAGGAACTTCACGCTAGTGACAAATTCCAATATCTACTGCAATGCATGGTGACTGGATCAAGAGCAAGAGGACTAGTTGAAAGCTTCCCAATGACAGCCGAAAACTATCCCAAAGCAATTATCGCCCTAAAGGAGAGATTCGGAAAGGAGAAACTTCTTCAACAAGTTTATGTCCGTGAACTATTAAGATTGGTCATCGCAACGGCCAAATCTAAGGAAAAGATACTTTTGTCCGAACTCTACGATAAGGTGGAGACACAGCTACGGGCCCTGGAGTCTCTCGGTATCAAGCCAGAGCACACCACCCTGTTCCTTTTCCCGATGGTGGAATCATGCCTACCTGAAGAAACCCTTACGACCTGGCATCACAGTCCGCTACGGAAAGAAGACGGAAGCAAGCTAGTCCCACCAAAGAATGAACTTCATTTTCTCATGGAATTTTTACGTGAGGAAGTTGAAAATGAAGCAACGATGAGGTTAGTCAGAGCTGGATTCGAAACAACAGCAATTCATGAATCATCAGGGAAAGAGAAAAAGAAGAACGGATCAAAGGCGGAAGTTGCGAAATCTAAGAACAATGAAGATAGCATCCCAACCGCTGCCGGACTTTTTGCTGGACAGAAATCATACACGTGTATTTTCTGCAGCAAGTCTCATCCAAGCCCTGACTGTTTCAAGGCTCAGAACATGAATCTTCAAGACAAGAATGAACTAATTGAAGTAAAGAAAGCCTGTTCTATTTGTCTCGGCACTAGCCATCGCTCAAACAGTTGCAGGACCCCCGTCAAGTGTATTTTGTGCTCAAGGAAGCATCAGACAGTAATGTGTACAGAGATTTGGTCACTGAGGAAAACTGGACACAAGACGCCAGAAGCAGAATCACCAACAACAATGAACGGGATGGCCATGAATAGTCACGCATGCTCCGGAGATGTTCTACTCCAGACGTTAATGGTTCGACTCTACAATGAGGGTGGGGGATACAAAGTAGCAAGACTCGTATTCGACAATGGAAGTCAAGGAACTTCCATCCGTGTCAAGTCTGCCCAAGATTTGAAGTTGAAGCCCATTGGAGAGAGCTGGTCACGTAAAGTGTTATACGGCGGCCAAGTCACCGATATGCAGCGACACAACAAGTACAAGGTGCACATCACTCATCTCAACGGATCGAATGGGAGGAATCTCATCGTCATGGATGAGCCGGAAATTTGCGGTCAGTTAAGTCGCGTCCCGAAGGGTCCATGGATTCAAGAGCTAGCTGCAATGAAGATCCACTTGAGTGATTTCAAATCAGAGAATGCGGAAATCGAGATCTTGGTGGGCAGTGACTACTATGGACAACTCGTCACCGGGCGTGTTGTTCAACTTAAATGTGGATTGACAGCGATCGAGTCAGTATTAGGATGGACACTGTGTGGGAGAGTTCCAGGGGAAACAAATGTGGCCGCAGTCGTCCTTTCCACAGCTCTCATGTCGTGTCAAACTAGTGTGTCTGAGTTGTGGAACCTCGAAACTCTTGGCATCCGCGATCCTGCTCAGGTCAAATCGAAAACTGAACGGGAGGAAGCAACCAGACAACATTTTCAAGAAACAGTGTCTCGTGGTGAAGACGGGCGCTATTCAGTTCGATTACCTTGGGTAAACGGACCTCCGAGCATTCCCGACAATAAATCAATCGCGATGAGAAGATTGGAGTCCACTACCAAGAAATTACAAGAAGCTGGCAAGTTTCAAGACTATGACCAGATTTTCAAGGAGTGGTTGAGAGAAGGTTTCGTGGAGAAACTACACGTGTATGAAGAAGATGAAGAAGGCACTCATTACCTCCCTCATCATGCCGTGATTAAACCACAGAGTCTCACCACCCCCGTTCGACCAGTTTTTGACGCCTCATGCAAGACTGGAAGAAATCCCTCACTAAATGATTGTCTAGAGAAGGGTCCCAATGAACTGGAACTCATCCCATCCATCATTTTACGGTTCCGAGAAAAGAAAATCGGCGTCATCTCTGACATCCGAAAAGCGTTCCAAATGATCGGAGTGCACGAATCCGACCGAAATTTTCTCCGATTCTTATGGTGGGAGGACGTGGCTGTGAAGAAAGTGCAAGTTTTCCGGCATATGCGAGTTGTTTTTGGGGGCAACTGCAGTCCATTCTTATTGGGAGCAGTTTTATCACTACACCTCGGAGCGGCCGATTTACCCCAGCGAATAAGGGACATCGCCCAGAAGCTGTTAAGATCCATGTATGTTGACAACAGTGTCACATCTGTAGACTCCATAGAGGAATACGAAGAGTTCAAGACAACTTCCATTCAACTCCTATCTGAAGCAAAAATGGACTTGCGTCAATGGGAGTGTGGCTCTGCGGAGGGATCCGGAATCGGCCCAGCCGGGTGCGGATTGGTGACTGGTGGAGACCACACCCCTCAAGAAATGACGACAGTCCTGGGATTGAAATGGAACAAGTGCCTAGACGTCCTGATGGTAGAAGTACCCAAAGTGGATCTGCCAGAACTAATTACTAAACGTGTAATTCTGTCCCAAGTTCAACAGATCTTCGACCCAATGGGATTTTTGAGTCCTGCAACATTGGTTCCCAAAATGCTCTTACAAAAGACGTGGGAAACGAAGATGAAATGGGATGAGGAATTAAGCGTGAACCTCAAGAAGGAATTTTTAGCATGGTGGAATCAAGCATCGGATTTGGAGCAAATTCACATCCCAAGGTATGCGATCAGATCCACACATGACAATCTACAACTCCACACCTTCTGTGATGCCAGCCAAAACGCCTACGCAGCAGCGGTGTTTATCAGAGTCGAAACAGAAGACGAAGTGTTCATCCAGCTACTTCAAGCGAAGTCGAGGGTGGCACCAATCAATAAAGTGACAATTCCCAGACTTGAACTTTTGGGATGTACTATTGCTACACGTTTAACTTCAGCTGTAAAAAAAGCATTGGCATTTGAAGATATCCCTACATTCTACTGGAGTGACTCCACCACAGCGCTCGCTTGGATCCGGAGAAACGACGAGTGGGGGACTTTTGTGGGCAACAGGGTGAAGGAAATTTGTTCGCTTTCACGTGTAGAAGAGTGGCGACATGTTCCAGGGAAGTTAAACCCAGCGGATTTGCCATCAAGGGGATGTTCGCCGTCGGAACTACTTGACAGTCGTTGGTGGGAGGGTCCAGGGTGGCTCAAATCCCCAGACGACGAATGGCCACTGCAAGCAAGTGAAGCAAACGAAGAACAAATCATGTCCGAAGCCAAGAAGAAGTCCATTCAGATGAATGCAGTGGATACCCTGAAATCTTTGTGGTACGTTCGCTATTCGTCATTTACCAAGAACGTCCGTCTAGTGGCACTTATCATCAGATTTGCCAACAAACTGCGGAAGAAGAGTACAGAGAAAGGAGAGTTGAAACGGTGGGAGCTTGAATCTGCAGAGGAGAAGTTATTCATCCTGGTCCAGCAAGAAACTTTCCCAACTACACGTGTACCGGAAGATGTTATTGCTGGCCTGCGTGTATTCAGGGATGAAGATTCAACTTTACTCCATGTCAAGACCAAACTCACCCATCGAAATGATGACACCAACATTTTTCGTCAACCCGTGCTACTCCCGAATTCACATCCATTGGTGGACCAACTCATCAGAGAGGAACACATCTACAATGCGCACGCTGGGGCACAATTCCTCATGGGACGGTTACGAGAACGGTGCTGGATAATCCAAGGCCGAAGAGCGGTCAGGAAGATTATCAAGAGTTGCGTCATTTGTCGACGATTCACCACCAAGGCCCCCATTTTACAACAAGCCCCTTTGCCAGAAGATCGTGTCAAGAACGCCAGAGTATTTCAGACTACTGGAATAGATCTAGCTGGACCATTGTATTTGAAGGACGGGTCGAAAGTGTGGTTCGTCATCTTTACATGCGCCGTTTACCGAGCAATCCATTTGGAACTTGTTTCAGCAAGCAGTACGGACGCATTTCTGCTCGCGTTGTTCCGCTTCATCAGCCGCAGAGGTCGACCGTCAGTTATCTACAGCGACAACGGGACCAACTTTGTGGGAGCGGACAACCTATTTAAGAAGATGGATTGGAAAAAGATCGAGTCTGCTACACGTGTAAGTAGGATTACCTGGAAATTTAACCCTCCATCAGCAGCATGGTGGGGTGGATTCTGGGAGAGACTCATCCGAAGTGTCAAGGATTTACTGAAGAGAATGTTGGGACACAGAAAGTTGGACTACGAACAACTTCTCACATGTTTATACGAAGCAGAGGCAGTAGTCAATTCTCGACCTCTGACTTTGGTGACTGAAGATCAAGACGATCTCATACCACTAACTCCAGCAATGTTTATCCAAGATATTGCGGAGATCAATTGCCCTGAAGTTGAGAACCTGACTGGGATGGGACTGAACAGGAAGTACAAACAAATGAAAATTTTACACGTGGAGCTGCGAAATCGCTTCCGGAAGGAATACTTTGGCCAACTGGTTCAGCGAGGAAAGCACCACAGGTCAGTCTCATTTCAAGTTGGCGACGTTGTTCTCATCGGAGACGACAACAAGAAGAGGATCGAGTGGCCGATGGGAAGAATCATTCAACTCTATCCAGGGAAAGATGGTCAAGTGCGGGTGGCGAGAGTCAAGACCACAACGAACGAGTTCTTACGGCCCCTCCAACGCTTATTCCCACTTGAAGTATCCTCCCCCACTGAAGTCCCCTCTGTGCCCAAGGTGGTCATGGAGAAAGCAGTAAGAAAGAAGAAGGAAAAGGTGAAGTTTGAGGAGAAGGAAGTCATCACACGAGCTGGACGACGGGTCAAGATGCCAACCAGACTTGGAGTGGATGATACCGAAAGGCACTAAGAAGAATTTGTGCGAAGAGTTTCTACCTCATTATGCTTCATATTCTACACGTATAATTTAAGTAGTTGTATGAAATGTAGATTATATTTCTAAGAACTTTCTACGTTTACATTCATTGTTATTTTTGTTTGTTAGACTCTTTTGTTCTCACAAAAGATGTGGGAGGATGTTGAAAGTAGAATCATAGTCTCACTTTGTCTCATTTTCCCCATTTTATTTTATTATTCGAGTATCCCGGTTTGGGGATATTTCATCATCTTTCTGGATCTTTCTGGAAGCGTGGTGAACGTGTGTATGATTGGATTTTTTCTTGGTTTTTTAGTGCAAGTGCGATTGTAGAGTTTGTACTGAATGTGTCTCTCTAAATCTGTTCTCATTATTCTAGTTCAATTTAATAAATTACCTCCAAGGAGAGGATTTTGATTGAACATTTACACGTTTACTTATCTCACTTAATAAGTCACTCGCAGTTCACATTTTTAAACTGAGAAGAAAAGTTAGCTGGTGGTTAATTATTTATCTCTCAACAACGTCTGTTGAATTCTTATTTTTACAGGGTTTAGCAAGATGATAATTATCAAGGTTGGTAATATTTTTAAACAATATGAAACTATCACGGATCCAATTTTGTAAGAGAAGACACCCTGTTTCACAGTCAAACGGATGATTTTTTTCATATTTGACCCGTGTCAAGCGTATAAGCTGGGCTGGGGATAAGAAACTTCAGTATGGGCATCCTGTCCATCATGCTGTCGTGGGAAATAAGCGTAATTTTCTTCTGACGGGGATCTAAATATGTATGAAAAAATAAAAATTAGTATCCAACTTAAATAAATAAGTTGCATAATCTTAGGAGGAGAGCTTCCAAATTTCCGAACGCCCTTGATGCGGTAAAAACTAAATTTTTGGGCGAGGGTTGTTTGATCGAGTGAAAATAGGGCAATTTGCATGATTTTGACCCCTTTGAGTGACTGTGGCGATGGAGCACGGAGAATGGAAGTATGCCCAAAGTATGCTCACAGATTTTGACCAAACTAGCGTCCATCGGTCACAAATTTAAGTAGTATGAAAGTTGCAAATGCCAATATCTTCCAGTGTACACGTTTGGAAAATATATTTGTTTGCAAAACAGGAAAATGCGCAGTAAATTAGGAAAGTTTTAAGTTTCCCAGCGTTTTGACACATTAACCCCGCTTTTAAGGCTGCCTGGGACGCAGGTATATAAATAATTTCTTAAGAATGATGTTAAGGGCTCATTTTTGGACAGAATGGAAAATGGATCGGTAAATATGTCGGGAATGGGTTTTGTGAGAGAGATTGTTTCATAAGGTGGGAAATATCGGCAGGCTAAAAGGCAATAGCAATCACCCAGTGTGATCGTGGACCAAAGGTAGGTCGCTCTGCGCGATTCAGATGAGATTCCGGTTTCGAGCCCGGACGGTTGCACTACATTTTTGCTAATTTGCCTATGCCAGCCAATATATTTAGCCCACAGTTTCTCCATAGAATTACCGATTGTCAGATACTATATCATGTCCAAAGGGCCTGTAATTGGCAAGTACGGAAGCTCCCCTCTTTGGGCTTACTTGTACTTTGTGGATCGTAGTGGTAGTTGGCGTGTTTAGGATTGCTACTAAATCCGAGCGACATTCTCAGCTCGTCCAGATAAGGCGTTCCCTGCAGGCTGAGGGAGACCGCGTAAGGATGAACTTCAACTTGTGTAATGGAATCCATTGGTATGAAACACTTTACAGGTGGCCTTCCTAAATTGAGCAATTTGTTTACACATGTTACCTTTCAGCTAAAAATGGAACCTTTTTTCAAGTTACACCGAGATTGTCTAACGAGTTATATCAAAGAATCAAGCCAAAAATTTAGAATCACATGGTGCTTATCATTCCGTTGAATGGTCCCCGAAGAAAAAAAAATTGCGACAAAGTTTATTTTTTTAGTAAATTCCCCCCCCCCTTTCCTGCACGACAAGTGTCATGTGATTACTCCTTTTTGACTTGATTCTTTAAGATAACTTAGTAGACAATCCCGGTGTAGCTTGAAAGAGTCCATTGTAACGGTTTATTCTATTAAAAATTGTATGTACTCCTCCTTTCCAACTCTCCATGAACCCAAAAGAGCTTCGGGGCGAGCACGTCGACGTCGAAAAAAGGCGTCCAGGCACGACGTCCAAGAATTATATTAGCCAAGAAGCCGAATTATCCTATTATTTAACACCAGTTTATTTTATTTCGACGTAGAAGTCATTCAATTACCCAAATTCTTTACACGAATTGAATAATTTGAACGCCAAAGTAAAATAAACTGGTGTTAAATAATAGGATAATTCGGCTTCTCGGCTAACATAATTCTTGGACGTCGTGCCTGGACGCCTTTTTTCGACGTCGACGTGCTCGCCCCGAAGCTCTTTTGGGTTCATGGAGAGTTGGAAAGGAGGAGTATATTCAACTAAATAAATGTACCGCATTGAGTGTGCAGCATGGCGAATTCGATCCCCTTCTGGCAAATGGTCGCGAGGATAAAGCCCTGCGAACCTGCTGCTCGAGTTTGATAAGTCTCGATGCTGACACTGCGACACTCAAGGGTTACCTTCGTGTCGGGTGAAAAATTAGGGGGTGGTTTCCCGTCCAATTTTTCGGATAGAACCGGAATTTCGTCGTCTTCTTCCCCTGTACATAAAAATTTTAAAAAGTGTGCAAAAACTTTATTTTAAGTTGAACGTTATATATATATAACGTTCAACTTAAAATAAAGTTTTTGAAGTCACTTTGTTGAAGTTACTTAACTTCTCGCTGGTCTACTGTCATAACTTAAATGTCATATTTGTCCCACATTTAGGCTAAATATGACACGACACGCAGCGGCGTAGCCAGGATTGGGTCCTGGGGGGGGGCCCAGCCAAAAAAATATTTAGATTACCCTTTTCAGGCGAAAAATTTATACGCTCACTCACTAACACCGCTTTAACACAGGGTATAGTTACATAGTTACGTTAAGCTTAGCTTTAAGCGTCAAAAACCACTAATATAGAACGTCATATTTCATGCTAACGCCCCAAAAATTTATTGTATCTATAGTAAATCGTGTGTATTTAGATCGTCTCTGCGGTTTTTAGACGATAAAAAAGTTGGACCACACATTAACGAGGGTCTGCAAACTTGGGTTACAGTTTGGTCGTATCAAGTGGCTTAAGCGCAAAACGTGACATCTGTAAATGTATCAACTGCTAGTGGACAGTAAAAAATTCAACCTTGTGTTCCTTCAATAGCCTGTTGTGCATTCAAGGAAAAATTCTACGACAAAATCCGAGCAACATGAAGGGTTTAGTAACAAAATTTTGAAGATTACCCAAATATCAAACCAGTTTCTACTTGAAAAAAATTTTCCATTAGTCATCAACAAAGACCTTATGGCATGATCGGAATAATTAGTCCAAAGATTAATGACTAATATAAACCGTGTAAATTTATTCCGGTAACATTCATTTTTTGACCCCCGTTCGAGCTATAACTATTGACACCGTCAATGTCTTTCGTTTAATTTTTTACTGTGGGTGGATTGAAGATATGTGCTAATTAAAAGCACCATAGCTTTGAGATGCAGGTCTTAGAAGCGGTAAATTCTAATTAAAAATTAAAATCATCCAAAATTCGGAAGTTTGTAGCAATGCGTGAGTAATAATTTTCCTCAGGATGTAAAATGACCTGAATAATTCAAAATATAAATAGGTGAGTCGAGCAGCAGTTTTCAAAAGCACGGTTCGCAAAAAGCTTGACTCGAAAAAATCTTAACAAGCTCAGTTGAACCGAGCACGAACAAGCCCGGTTCAACTGGCTCACCTCTAATCCGAAATAGTCTCACCTACCAGAAAAAGACTGACCATTCTCAAATTTCACGAGATAACTTAAACTTCTTGTCCAAATTATGCAAGCGAGTATAACAACGTAAAACGGGTTAAATGAAGTAGCCCATTGCTGATGGTCGACAAACGAATCGTCGACAACTAATTGGTCGTCAAAAAACAGGTCGCTAAAACAACTAGTCGTCGATCTCAACTTGTCGATAGACGACTAGTCGCCGCAATATATCGGTTGACATGGCAAATTGGTTGCCAATCTCAATTGGTCGACAGTAAATTGGTCGACGCTAGTTAAAAGTTGTAACAAATACTAGCGACGGAAGTTCTGTGTATAAACACTTGATTTTGGTACAAGTTATCCAGAAATGTAAAATATTACACTTTTTAAGCCAAACGAATTTGCTGTGCGACCAGACTTACTAGGCATAGGTCGTTATCCACGACGAGAGGTAATTAAAGGTGAGGAGAATGATTGGTCAAGTGATGAGGATGGCTTACATGGCGCTGGAGAAGAATCAGGCAACAAAATCATTTGTGTTAAAAGCTTCCTGAAATTCAGGTTCGTCACCTCGTTTTGCGCCACGTGCAGATTTTGAAAAACAATCCATTTCTAAACCCCGAAAAAGCCGAAAACTCCGTTCGGCGATTTAGCTAAGCTGTAAAACCCCAAATCCAAACGCAGCATGGCCTATCTGTTAGAATCCAATTAAACAACTATCTAGAGACTAATTAAAACTGATTTGGGAAATATTGTAGCAAAAATGGCCTATGTAGATCTACGCATTTAGAAACCACAAACTTTTTTCCGCTTACTGCTGAAAAAATTCAGCAGTGCGCAGAAACGGGCGACGATGGTTTTGGTTTTGCTGTCATAAAAGATGAAGAACCCCCTTTTTAGTCATCCGACATTTACCGTTTGGTTTTTTTCGAATTTTTCATCGTGATACGACAACTTTTATACCGCTGAATTTACGATTTTTGGCGCATTTTGGAACGTTTAAAATAATTAGTCAAAGAAAACTACCCTAGAAAAGTGTCTGGAAGTTTTTTTGTCGGGCAAAAAGCGATTCAATCTTAAAGTTGAGGATAAGGGACGTCACATGCAGCAAGTTTCGCGTAGAAAAAGACGGGGTTGTAGGCTAGAAAGCTGATCAAACCTTTCCACGAATAAATGAATCACCCTTCTGTAATACCTACTGTCTTCGCAGGGAAAAATGTTACTGGATTAAATTTACATCCTTTGCATTTGCATATGTCAAATAATAAGTTTGACGTCCAAGTTTACAATATTTTTGACTAAAAAAAGCTTCGAAGATTTAAATGAAAAATTAAACGGGCTCACACACGCTTGACATTCAAAGCCGGGATACAGATTTATCTTCGCATCCTTAGTATCGTAAAATACCATAGAAATCAATGCGAAGCATCAAGCTTCATAAAACCGGTGAGCTTATAATGGTGAGACCTGAACTGGCTTTCTCCGATTTTGACGGGACAAATTTTAAACAGTTCGTGTGCAGCAATAAGTGGGTCTATCTTTTTTGCGTTTTCTTGAATGTGCGTAGTTTCCCCTTTGGACTCATTCCATCTGAACCCACACGATCGTCGTCGCACCATATTTGAGATATTGTTCACAATCTTATAGTAGATGCATGGTATAAAATAAAACATATCATAAAAATCAAAGTTTGAAAATTAATTTTTTTCGCAAAGATATAGCAGTTAAAAGAAAATTTGTAAATACATTGAAAATGCTTTCGTAGCCAAAGTATAGATTCAAAGGGGTAGGTTATATTTACGGATTTCATTAATCGATCATTCATTGATAGAAAAAAATTTTTTTAATTCGAAAATTCGAAAAAATCAGAAATTTGAAATGTATTGAAAAACTCTATTATCGAGAAGACGGACAAAAGTCGCTTATAGTGAGATAAGCCAATCGATGCCTTTGGGCCTGAGCAAACAAAAAAGCTTAAAACCTCACGCGATTTTTGTCCGTCTTGGAGTTTTGGCGATTTTCTGAAAAGGTAAAATTAACATGGGCTTCTTGTGTAGACAGTAGTAAATAATTCTGTGTTCCTATGTGGCCGGGAACATTGACAAAGCTGAAGTTGTGTGGTGTTCTCATATCAAAGCGAGGAAAATACATGGTCAGGCAGCCACCACCAGCGAGCAGGGTTTAGCACCTCTATTTTCTGGTACTGGATCAAACGTGTTGCTTACAAATGGAATGAGCCTTTGCCCGAATTTTTAACAAAAATGAGGATTTTTCGAAACGCTGTAACTTTTCCAATTTTAACCCGATTACCAATGTTAAACAGAAAAAATACTTTACTACTAACTTTTAAAATTTGAAATTTGCATACCACCTTGGAAATTTGAACAATACAGAAAATATCAAACTTTTTAACATTGTTTAACTTTTTAACTTTAACTTATTTTAACTTTTTAACAAGTTTTTGAAAGGAAAGTTTTCTTATAATGTTCATTAATTTCTGAAATCAGTTTACAATTGAAAAAGTTATTGAATTTTGAATGATTTTGATTTTGGTTAAAAATTCCGCTACAGGGGTAAATACTTGCATCTATGAAAATGCAAAACTGTATATATTTTCATTTTTGTGCGTCAACAATTTAAAATTCGTCCGATTCAAATCGTAGAAAACCATTTGGTGCTTACTTATAAACGTATTGTTATTAACGTGATTTTTTTAGTACAGTTTTACGACTCTTTTAGAATCTCTTAGCTGTCGTAATTTATTTTTCGATACAAAGATACTAAGGGTACGAAGTAATAACGAAAATGTGTAACATATAACTTTATGCGTAACTTACTTTTAATTTTTTTATTTTTTTTTATTTTTTTGCAATTTTTTGCAAGTATTTTTTTTATTTTCTCGGGCTCTGGGGGGGCTCAAGCCCCCCCCTTGGCTACGCCGCTGACGACACGACAAATATAACCTGATCTGACATTTATTTCTTGACACCGACATTGTACACTGATTACACTCGGATTTGTATTTGCTGTACGACTTTATACCTTGACTTTCACCAAAGTTATTATCAATTCTGGAACCATCCGATGCGTGGACAACTAGATTTTCGGCAATAATCTTGACAATTTCGCCATCTGAGGATGATTCAGTCCCGTTCTCGGGGAGCGACGATTTCAATTTCTTTGCGGGTATTTCATCAAGTGACTGGTTCAGTACTGCGCCTTCCTTTTCTTTTTTTGTCTGGAATTAATATTATTTAAAATTTAAAGTGTCACGTGGTACAATGTAAATTATTTCGTGTGCACATACATATGTACATAATCGATTTAAATAAATAGGTTTTTAAATTACCTCTGTTTTATTAAATTCTATAATGTTGATAATTTTTGTGGTATCCGAGAATCGAGTTTTGCAGTACTCGCAGACGTGCAAATCTCTCGATCGTGTTCCACAGTTTGGGCAGACGGCTTCTGAACCTGGGATGAATCGGTCCCTCTAGAAAAAATAATACGTCCATATGTATTTCGTCAAATTCCTTATATTTAACCCTTTCCCAAGAAAATTCAGTTATATTATAAGAACGCTGCAGGAATTCAGTGAGTCTAATAAAACCCCAAAATTTAGCATTGCCTTATTTTTGGAAATATCCAAACTTTCAGCTAGATAAAATTGACGGTTTCATTACCATAGGAGAAAATAAATCGCTCAAAATGGCGACAGATTTTACAACGCGGAGAAAAAATTGTGAAAATCGAGAAACGACAATTGCTTCTCAGGACTTTAGTCTTCTCCCCGAATTAAACTATTTCTTACAGAACAACTTTTGTTTTTCGTTGTGAATTAAAAGATTACATAAAGGTAAACATGTTAATTCGTAAGGAAGACAAAAATTTAACTGCTAAGCTACATAGATAAATTTTTTCACAGCAAATATGTATGCACCTGTGGGGTTGGTAAAGGTGGAATAATATTTGTTGGGGATGGTCGAATAATTGGAGCAGTTTGTTGAAGGTCCAAGGTATTCGAGGAGGGTAAATCGCCCCCCGTCGAGGAATCTGATGACAAAAAAACTGGCGTGGTTTCAGCCTCGATAATAAATTTGCCAAATTTGCCATTATTGTTATCATCATTGTCCTCGGGAAGCATCATATCCGCACCGCCTTCCTGGTCAGTCTCATTGTCGGAAAATGTACAGTTCTCGACATTTTGTTCGTTTTCTTTTTTCAGTTCTACTTTTAAAAAGCTGTCGAAAAAAAATAATTACTGTATAATCAACCTTAATTATAGCTAAAATTAATTCTTAATTTCAACTACCTCGACATATCTGCGCCCTTTATCGCAGTGTTTTCCACTGTTAAAAAGCTGTCCAAAAATAATAATTACTGTATCCATACTAGTCCGCAATTTGATGGTGATTACGTGGGTGTTTTATTATTAATTTTCAAAAGGTATGTTCCGCACTGTTTCTCGCCAAAATTTTGATGAAAGAACAAACTTCAAATACATTTAGGAGGCTGTGATTTTTTTCAGTTCTGTAGGTTAACATTAACACTAGCAATAACCCATTAAAATTTACCTCGAAAATATGCCAAAATTTACGACTTCATATCACTATCATCCGAAAACCGTTTTCCCCTGATGTCTTTCTTTAAGTTTCGAAACGAATAATAATCACTAAGGGTCAAGTCTGAACTGCACGGGGTGTGGTTTGTGCAGGTAAAGCGATTTTCGTCTGCACTATCCCTCGCAAAAAGCCAGGTATGAGGAGGAGCGTTGTCATCTAAAAAAAGGCCAACTCTATATTTTGACCCCACGTTTCTTTTCAACCGGAGGACGCAGCTCCTTCTGGGTACCTGCATACGCGGCCCCATTTATTGTAGTATTTCCAGCAATAAATTTTATAAGGAGGGGACCTTTGATATCCTTGAAAATGGTCATCATCAATCTTTTGTCAGATTTTTGCACTTTTCAATTCTCGGGCGGTGGCAACCCCTCCTGCTTCCATTGAGGGAATTATTATTTGGTCACCGGGTCATAATAGTAAACTCAGGTACCATATTTAGCTAATAAAATATTGAGCAGGTTCAAGTCTTCATTTAATAGGTTAAAATTGGCATTGCAAAAGTCGACTCGATCATGTTTTTGAGATGCCGAAAGCAATTTTCGTACCCAACGGACGGAATCCATTTTCATACCTAAGTCTTCAGTTAACATGGAACAAATTGCTGGTTTTGGAACACCCATCTCATCTGCTAAATAGGACAGTTTCAACCGCGGATCTCTCATTATTGGTTCCTCTAGTTTCCGGAGCCTTTCTGTGGAAGAAACGGATTTTGAGCGTCCTGGCGACTTTTTGCCCGAGACCTCGTTTCGCCATCATTTAAAATTATTAACCCAATTGAATTTGTGTTTTGTGTTGGGCAGTTTTCATCGTAAATTTTAAGCATTCAATCATAAATCTGCGACACGTATTGCCCATCCAGCATTAAAAATTAAATCACACTACGATATTTAATTTGCAAATCTAGCATTTTTTCCGTCGAGGTAAAGTTTGCCGATTTATTGCTAGTGTTTATGCTAACCCACAGAGCTGAAAAAATCACAGCCTCCTAAATGTATTTGAAGTTTGTTCTTTCATCAAAATTTTGGTGAGAAACAGTGCGGAACATACCTTTTGAAAATTAATAATAAAACACCTACGTATGTATCCTATCTCGCAATGTCATAAGAGTACATTACGAGATAAGATAATTGCATTGAAATCACGGACTATGGATGCAGCCTTTGTCTATAATCAACCTTAAAATTAATTATAATTCTTAATTTCAACTACCTTAACGTAGCTGCATGCTTTATCTCATTTTCAGTGTTTTCGGTCTTTTTTACATTTACGGGCCCAGATCTCTTTCTCTTGCTCCAGGGCCCAGGTCGTTTACGTTTGATTTCTAATTTTAGTGCCCAATTAATTAAGGTTAAATATTCTAATATGTATTTATGTATACCTGGTCGTTCACCTGGTTTCCGTATTATCTCCTCAAAAACATCAAGTTCGTCATCTTCATAATTCACAATTACTGGTTTCGCATCGGTTTCACTAAGGTCGTCAAGATTTTCATCCTGTTCCGTGGTTCTCGATGCTTCCTCTTCATCTGAAAGTGCAGTTAGTTAAGTTAGACGAACATTATTTTTCAAAGTTTGCATTATGCACTTTTAAATTGACAAGTCGATGTACAGTTTGGTCATTTGTCATTTCCATTAGAAACTCTTTTTGCAAATTTTGCGAGCAAACTTAAAAATCGGGAAGAGCCGGTCATACATTATGCCATAATTGGTTCAAAAAATTGCAAGTTGCATGAAATAAATATTTAATAACGAACGAATTTTTTAACCGGCACATAATTTGTTAACAGCTTTTTTCTTTAGGTTTTAAAATATTTTTCTTACTTTAAAATTTGCCAAAAAACCTCTAAAAATCAAATTACCAAATTATAATTAACTTATATAAAACCAGAATCGTTTATCTTACTCTTAGCAATTTCCGCTTGATATGTCATCTTCAACTTGATCAATTTCACCATCGCGTCTATCGTCACGCTCAATTGGTCCATTTCCTCCTTCAGGTTGCTTAATTGGTCCAAATTTTGGCGACAAGCGGCACAAATCTGCAGACTTTTCCGACACAAATGATTCGCCCCCACGATCAGCTGGAGAAAGAAGCAGTGTTGTTTTTTCATGTGGCGATGACCTCGCGACGAGCCACAAATTGAACACTTTTTAATTTTTGAGCTATGTTTGATTTGAAATAAGTCATCAATAGTTACGACTTGTTTAAGGAGCACGATGACTGGAGAGAGATTATTATCCACCATCATAACGAATAAATTAATTAGCGGGGTTTTAATGATTTTTGGGAAAAATAGTAAAATTACAAATTATTTAATTAGTTTTTTTTAATGTTTATATTTTACTCACTCAAGCAGCATATGAGAGAGAGAGAAGACCCGCTTCTGGGCAATGCTAGACTTGACTCGGGTATGAATTTCTCTTTTCACGTAAGAAGGGGTGGTGCAAAAAGGATGTGGCCAGTTTTGACGATGGTCATCCATTTAAATCTGTTAATTTTCATGCGCCCTTGATACTGGGAAAGAGGGTTCAAGCTTTTAAAATATATTTTACGATTAGTTATGCATGGTCCCCACAATATTCATGCAAAATTACAATATGCTTAAAATGGTTTGATTATTACAATTTGGGAGTTTCTGATGTACTATTAATTACTGAATCTTCTATGGAAAACAGTGGCAACAAAAGGCTAAAAATTCACAATGATTTTTCTTGCTCCTTTTCCATTCTGTGGATAGTGGAACACTCGAATGTTGGAACGGAATGTCCGTCATGAAACGTTCCAATTTCCCATTCTATAACATTACACACCCTATAACTGGTTGTAAGCGTAAATGGAAAATGATAATTATACTGTATAATTGTACATGCATGCCTATATTTAATTATACATGCCTGTTGGAGTGTATAATTTATACACTCCAACAGGCATGTTTTCGAATAATTTATAATATAAACACAACTACAAATTATGAATACTATAACTACAATCTCATAAAATACCACAGGCAAATAATTATTGATCCGTTAACATACTTAAATTATAATACCACCTTCGATGAGTTTACACCGTTCAATTATTACAGAAAATACGAAATATTGCCTTAGTAATCTGTGCGTTACAAAGCATTCGTCGAAATCCAAACAGATATTTCGTCCCTTTCGATGTGTATGATCACCTAAATTCGACAATCATATTTGTCATTAGCATTTATGAATATGTAGCTTGGGATGAAAATCAACTAAACAAATTTATTACCAAAAGCTAAAATAGATAGATACATTTGGCTTTTTGAATAACATTAATTTTTACAACTTCTATGCACATCTTACTTATAGAGGCACTCATATTCCGGTGTAAAATTGGTGACTTGCTTGTCCTTCGTCCACAATTTTGCATTCTTAACAAACCATTTTTCAAACAAGCTTGACATTAACTTTAGAGGAGGATATGAATCTCCGCCAACTTTCATCATTCTGAAACGCAATAAAAACGCTTGTTTTAATTTAACTTTCACATTGAAATAGATGTTAAATTAGTATATTTTTTATGGATTGAAGGTACGAAGTTTGCATGAAATATAAATTTCACGAAAGTTTCCAAGTGGCGACTACATATTAAACACATCAGTGCTTTTTGACATTTTTAGTTTTAGGCGTTTCAATTTCTACATTTGGAACTGACCTTAAAAAATATTTTCATTATCGCGTTATTATGCGACGAATCGAAAAATTATTATTACTCCGGATAAAGTTTAAGGTGTTTAAGGTACGGAATTCGGAGTTCACATACTTGCATCAGAATATTTTTAAGAGTGCATATGTATCAATTTTCTGTAGAACCCATTACCCCATAATAAATTCCCACGAGGTTTGGGTAGATTTGGGAAACCCAAAATTTAACGTGTATGGAAACTGCGAGCCATTCATCCTTTCAAAGAAGCTTATTAGAGAGTTGGAGATTTTTTGTACTTTTACTTGTACTGTACTGTGACTACAGTACAATACAAAAATTAGTACAAAAATCAAAAGACCTGGAGAATTTCATTATTTTGTACTCTGAAAAAATTGTATTGTAAAACTCCGCGAAATAGATGAGTCAAAAATTGAGACAAATCAACTCATGATATACAAAATGAGAATCCCTCCAACATGTGCGTTTAAAACGATCAAACCAAAAAGTCGAAATTTGTTACCCTTGACCTCGATTAAAACGGTCACCAGGCTGATATAAGCCGAAATGATAGTAATTTCTGAACTCCTCGCTTCAAAGTGAACTACGTCTGCAACGGTTGAAATAAAATATTAACATTTTTGACCTTTGACCTCGTGAACATGGTCACGGGGTCTTCATACGTTAAAGCTATGCAGATTTCTTAAATTCTCGCCTTAATACACGTCTAAAACAGTCGACACTTAAATTGCGACCTTTGACCTCGTCCTTTCGGTCATTGGTTGGTCGTAGGTCAAAAGTATTGACGACTATAAATTCTTGGTGAAATTTCCTTTAAAATGATACCGCATATGAAAATTAAGGTACAATTTTGCGTTTACTTCACGCCAGGGTGACCTTGACCTTGACCACAGGGAGCCCATCTTCGAACTCGACCTAGGGTCAAAAATTAGAAGCAAAATGGCGAAAACGGCGTCTGATTACATTGAGGCGTTCTAGAGATATCCTAGTTGCCAACCCTTGATTTTTCCACAGTAGTACAAATTGAGCCCGTGTTTCAATTTGTCTACCGTAGACTGTAGAATTAGTACAAAAAGCTGATGACGTCATCATCTAGAGTCCACAGTACAGTCTACAGTCAGAGTACAAGGAATCTCCAACTCTCTATTAACTCAATTGATACATCTCTATCGTCAATCGCCGCTAAGGCCATGTCTGCTTCCTGCAATAATACATTATTTCTCTAACTTTTCAACTAAATGCATTAATAAATATGTATGTAAATTACGATACCCCGCGCACGATAACATCTACCGTGTCATTCTTGCCGAATGAGCGATATGTGTTCGAAACATCGTCGAACATTTCGACCCCTTCAATGGTACATTTGTTCAGGATCTTGATTTCGTTATCCACCTTGTGCAGAAGATCGATGAGGAGGCCAGTGTAACAGGTCGTGTGTCGACATGACGACGCGGTCTTGACTCGCGATGAGAGGCAGGACTCGTTTACAATCACCCAGGGATGATACTGCACGTATTTATGTAAATTAAGTATAATTCTCCACGATATATTTATTACAGGGGTTAGGCCGATTGTTAATCTTGGTGTTGACCGTCTTTTGTACATATTCTGGTCAGAGGATCTACATCAATTATATATGAACAGCAGTTTTGGGGTAGTGGGGGGGTAAATGTTTTGCGTGACAGGTTGATTTATGTATACCAAATGTCAATAGGGCATGCAATGGGTGACGAGGTGGGCGGGAGTGTCCATAAAATTAAAATTTGTATGGAAACAATTTATGGACCTCCCCTCGTAGGCGGGACGCAGCAGCTCTGGTAATCGTGACTTTTGCCGTGTTGGCACTGACTGCTTCTGTGTGATCATTAAGGATGAGTATCACCGAGCTAGTGGTGGCAAATTTCTATGCGGTAGTCAATGTGTGACTAATCGGTGGCATTTGATCACCATCTGGTAATAGCATACATATTGTAAAAACCAAGCTATCACCTACCCGGAGTATAGTGTCTTTACGAATATTTAATTGTGCCTTGCTCGTTGGAATTAAAGAAAGTGACTGAGTGAACATACGATTATTTTATCTACTTAAACTAGATTTTATTTCCAACAAATTACTAATTGTCAACACAATTCAGAGCTCTGCACCAACACGAGTTGATTGGTGACTACTATAACGACAAATTAATCGTGGACATCAATAACAAAGAATTAACAATTCTTACTCTTGATTTCCTACCACGACGACTAAAATCCAAAATGTCTGACTCTGACAACGACTAAAACTCGACTGTGTAGAATTCTTCTACCTACTTACTTACTACGACTTAACAAAGAGAGACGCGCACCCAAAAATTACACCCTGACGTCACCATGGCAACCACCACCACGTCCCGGGGCAATTATAGACGCGTACTCAACAATTTACAAAAATACATAAAACAATTTCATAACTACATCATTTTACATTTAACACATATATTTAGTCACCGTTCGAGGATAAGTAGGTTATAAAATTTCTCAGACTGTGGCCAGATTTCATAGAAACCACAAGGCCCGATGCAGAATTCTCAATATACTACGAGTGCAAAGCGATCCATAAAACAAAATTACCTCGATCGTTATAATTCGATGAATTTGGGTATACTCTGAAAAATAAGACAAATTTACTTGGTATGTGTATAACTTAACATATTCTAAGGACTCACCGTGACAACGGTACGCCCCAGTGTATCCCTTCGCACAGACACAGTTTCCATTACGGCACGTCATATCCTTCCCAGCGCACGTGTCGGTTGGTTCACATCGCCCAGCGTATGGGACTTCTATGTAAATAAAGTAAAATGTATGAATGGACATGGCCGGGGGACTGATGCCACAGGCAGTGGCTGTGGAAGCCGTATTGACAACGAGGGACATTAACATTGTAAGATATGGGAGGGAGAAGTTTATTTAAAATATGCAGATGACTGGGACAATGAATAACCGTGAGGACATTGCCTCCTGTCCACACTCTTCACCGGTCATTGTTCACTGGGTAAACCAATTACGTTATTGTAGAATATACCACATTTGTGATACCGCTATAACCATAGAGGGACAAACCTGACGGCATTTTTAAAATTATTTGTAATTTATTTTGACTTTGTTTATGGTTAGGGAACTGAATGTTCGATTCCTTTGTAAATTACAAATTATGTAATTAGCCTTTCTGATGTATAATGTGTGTAATATGATAATGTGTTTTGGAATGATGATAAATGCATAAATAAAGATTGAACTTTTTTGCAGTATTTACAAAATATTTCCATGAATTATTGCAATACCGTTTAAATATGTTATGTACCTTTAGGTGCTGCGTGTCCCGAAATTAGAAGGATCACCCCCGCGGTAGCCATTAAGGCTAGGGAATTACTATCCACTCTCATTACTCGGCTTAAATTATGTAAACATATCGGGAAAGTGAAACAAATATGATCTCAAGTTTCTTAATCGCACCACTATTTATAAATTTTTGTAAATATGTGTGCTTACTTCGTATTTGTAAAAAGTATTTATCGTGTCATGAATTTGCACTTTGTTGTTCATTTTTTTGCAGCAAAAGGCAAAGAGCGAAGTTATTCTTGTTATACATAGGGCTGTCATATTACGTCACGAATTGGCACGATTTTTTAGACTGCATTATTTAACTGCCACCCCTAAAACTTCGTGATACTAAAATGAATAAATAATTGAGGTGCACATTTCCGGTCGGGATGTTAGACGGCAATTTTAGAAAAATATTTAGCTCTTGAAATTCATTCAAGAAAAATATTTTTTATCATGGATGCTTGTTGATTCAATAGATCTTTTAAGTCATTCATTTCGACCGGAAGGGAAGTTAGGAAACATTCTTGATATAGGTAGTTGAAGTCAAGGTTGACCATTGGTACATTCCATAATAATATTTATCCAAATAATTATAATAATCTTAATATCACGACATTACGTGAAAATATGAGTTTTCATTTCTTTTTTCATAAATACATACACCACTAAAATGTGGTGAAGTCAACAAATACACTTCGTAATGGTATTGATTTGGTAATAATTTGTATCTGAATGGTAAATTTTTAATTATCAGTATTACTACGTTATTACTGTTATTGCCTGTAGAATCATATATGTACATACTATGGTCAGTAATGATCTACCTATTTACCTATCTGTAATACCAGTTTCCTAAGAGTGTAATATGTAGCTTTCCACATTGAAATCTTCCCCTAGAAAAGACTGCTGCAATCATGTCGATAAAACATATTTACGATATCATCTCACGATATCACACTGAATCAGAGATCCTAATCCTATTCTCATCCCATGAATTTGCCCGACCACTGACACCGAAAAGCTAAACATGTATCAGCACATGCATTACTCCGTTGTACCGACACGATGCGGAGAGTCAAACAAAAAAACGGGATAAAAAAGACTGCACCAAACACCCGGGTCTCTCATTCCTTTCTCTGACTTTACTTGGAACGGGTATCGCTGGCCTGGCAGCTCTCTTCTTCCCTCCTTATGCAACTTATTATTCATTGCGTTGTATTGAAGTGAAAGTGGAGAAAGTTCGCGAAATGAGAAACTTTTCATTCTTCACAAGTTTCAACTTCACCTCAAGTTCGTGCCTATTTTACAAAGTCAATAAATCGACCTCAACCGCAACATGAAAACGTTTGCACCTGTGATTCTTAAAGGCAATAGAGAAATATATTCGATTTAAGCTAAATAATATACGTACAAAATCTGCACTTAAAATTCTGAAGATCAACGTTTTCAAAGAAATAATAAATACTGCACAATTTTAAAAAACATATTTCAAATCTTTATCATCATCTTAATCAGCACAGTTTTTGATGCATAATTAAATATGTCAATTAATAATATGCCGAATATTTTAATAGTTTCTGAAATATATTCACCTAAATATTTACATACATAACCTGCCAAAATTATTTGTGATTTAATAATGTTTATATGTTTAACAAGTAATTTTAATTACTTATAATGTCGTCACGTATTAAACATGACGACCAGAACTGACCACGAGAACGATCCACGGCCGGATGAAAATGTGGACTCATTTCAGAAACATTTCTTCCTTCCCCGAGTGGAAGGATTTTTCGGACATTTGTGCCTTTTCGTGGGACTCTTCATCTACACGTGTGTTGGTGCATGGGTAAGGAATTATGCATATTTCGTCGCAATACATACATACGTACATTTTTTAACATTTACCAAAAAGACTAATACTAAATTGCCCGTCATAAATATGCAAATATGTAAATATTACCAGATAAGCAGAAAAAGGTATGCACTTAATTAATTAATTACGTTACCAAATACTGGACCTACTCAACTCAAGACAAGGTGCTACTTAGCATAATTGCACATCTAGCAAATTTACGACAAGTTTATGTCGTTGGAAGATTCGCAAAATAAATATAATTATGACTTCAGAAGTTTCGCAAATCTTTGTAATTACAAAAACTTTGTATGTTGTTTCCCCTCCTTTTCTTCCAGTGGGTAAGCTTGCAAAGTTTGCTAAATAAGATCCCAATTATTGGGCAAATTTCGGAAAAAATCCGATTGTTTCCCAGAAAAAGTTTTCCCTGCGAAATTCTGCAAAACTTCACACGTTATTTTGTTATTCTCAATTTGTGAGACATGCAAAGGTTGACGTGAATACATACATACATATGTATGAATGCACATACATTCACTATGAGTGTGTTACATTTTCCTACACCCTTTTACTGGCCGGTGGTAAAGTGTGAGCTTATGTATGCATATTGAGTTGAAAAGTGGCCAAGTGATGGGATTCAACGAAACCTGATGTAAAATTAGATCAATGTAATGTACCGTAACCATGCGAATGCATGTTTGTCACATGAGGGGACAAACAAACTCAAATGCTTATAAGCTAATACAGCCCTCATTTACACAAACTTGTTAGATACAGAAATACGTAAAGAGATCACTATACACATGTCCAATTGCTCCTAGGTAATGTCACGGGTTTTCATACAAAAAAGTGCAATCAATGTTTTACCGAATGTCTTTTTTTTTTGTTTTGCACAAGGGTTTATTTGAAGAAATTTTAAGGAAAAAAATCAATTTGTTCAAAAATTACGCTAGAATGGAAAATTTTGCAATAGGAAAAAGCCCCTAAATCTGCATTAGTTACAAGATTTGGGATTGGAATTTGTATTAATTATTATCAAAACTGATCGAGCACTGATGATGCAATTCTTAAAATGTTGAATTTCAGAGACAAAATTTCGGTAAATAATGGAAATTTATGCATTTTTCCTGGCAAATTTTCTATTGTAGTGTAACATTTAAACCACCACCACCATAAATACATGCCTATTAATTACATACGTATACATAACTTGTACATATATGTACATATGGAGGTAATAAAATTGGTTGGAAAAATAGAAAACATTTCATATCTTTTCTTTTATTTTTTCTATTTTTTACAACACTCTAGAAAAAATACGTATTAGGTAATAAATTCTTTAATGTTTTAATTCTTCACAATTTTCACTAAAAGTGGCTTGTATTCCCTAGGTTTTGCTTACGTAGCTTAAAACAATTGCTAACCCACCCCGAATCCTTGCAAAGTCAGATTAAGGTTCTTGCCCTATGTCGTGATTTCTCATTTCACTTAAAAAACCAATATCCCACCGTGCATACATACATACATGAAGTGGGCGAAATTAAAAAAAATATCAATTTTGCACGACAGGTGCAAATTAACCATGCGAAAACATTTCACATTTCCTTCCCGATCCATTCATTAGAATTAGGTAAATATGTACATACACATACGTTTCAGCCCTATTCAACAAAACAGTATTAAAAATTTTGTAAAATCAGACGTACATGCACTCCCGATCTTGTAATAACTTCCAATTATTGGGTTGGACGTACAGATAGGTTGTTTCTGACAACGAGTGATCAATTTTTCAATACTACAACATCACTAAACCGTATGAGCATTATTCCCATCAAGTAAGAGTCGTACAAATATACAAACATACTCCTCTCGGTAATGATTTAATACCAGTCTTCTAAGTGTGTAGATCCCTTATATCTAAACTATTCTCCGGTCTGTGTAAACCCCGGGGGGAAACGTGTATCACTTTCTCGCCTGAAAAATCATCCCCATGAAAAATGTGAAAGTTCAAATTATCCAGAACAAATGGATGCATATATTGCGTGTTAGTCTATAGGATTGGAATGGACACGCTCTGATTGTATACATGCATAACATAACCAAGCATTTTAGCCTGGCTCGATTATTATGTAGATTTCCAAATAAATAAAACATGAGAAATATCTAAACGCTATTCCATCAAGGAAAAATGAACGTTATTACCTATGCACAAATAGATCGATAGGAGGAAGTACTTGCCGAAATTGGCTAGAAGTGTCTTGTCCAAATATTTACGATGAAGAAATTGTTTAAAAGACAACACAACTTGTGAAGATATGTAAATATGTACCGTCTAAAATTAAATTTTACAAAAACAGCATGAATCCATATACCGTAAACATATCTACATACATGAAAAATATTTATGTAATATTTATTAAATATATATCTGTTCAAAACATGCGTAGTTATTCACTCAAACTTGATTTAATTAAAAAATTGGAACAAATTAATCCCTCAAATTCAAAACTCTGTTTCACAAACTTTTAAGAATTTTAACTATTTTGCCAGATATTTCAGAAGTTGGAGGAACCCCACGATCTGGAGAGGGGAATAGTCTTAAAGCAACTCTTACTTGATGGGAAGTTCAATTTAATTTCAACCGTGGAGAACAAACTCTCACAAGTATGCAAATTTTTTTTCGAAAATGAATAAACTCACTACAATTTCTACAAAAGATGGTTCACATCAAGTTGATCATTTTTGACAGGGTGACTCCCTCAATGTCACGATCATGGAGGCTTTGGACAAATACGACAAAATCTTTGTAAAAGTGGGGCTAGAAGGGGTCCGACATTTACAACCGACATCCCCCTGGAGTAGCTATGTCAACGCGTTTTTCTTCGCTTCCACCGTCCTCACCACGGTAGGCAAGTAAATAACCGTTAAATTTCTGCAAGCCCGTTTTTCATCACACTCTAATAAATAATGTTACCCTTTCAAGTAAAAGGACTCTAAATTTTATATTAGTTGAAATAGATAAACCAAACCCAGAGTAATATTAATATTAACAAGTAAAATCTACTCTGGGTTTAGTTTTATTTAGTTCACTTAATTTAGAAGGCATTTAAGTTTAAAAAGGATAACATTATTTTTAAGAGTGGGTAACAAATACAATAATACATATATTTCTCGACCTAGGGTACGGCCACTTGACCCCAAGGACTCAAGGGGGACGAGGCTTTTGCATTATTTTTGCCACAATTGGCATTCCCCTCACAGTTTCAGCGATCACAAATATCGGAAAATTATTAGCGTCTGTGGTTTCCGCGTCGTATAAAAATGTGTTTCGTCCTCATAACCCTGCCTCACCGTCAAAATGGAGATTATTTTCGGGTAATTTTCAAATCAGAAAGATTTTTTACTTTGTCATACATACATACACTCTTAAAAATTTTACTACCCTTTCGTAAAGTAAATTCATTCTGAATTCTAAATTAACAAAATTAAGTAAATTAACCCTTTAAACTGTAATGACGACAATAGTCGTTTTATCAGAAATGGTTTAATTCGGGAGTACGACAAAAGTCGTCCTAAAAAATCGTGGTCATGGCGCGGAAGGACGACAATTGTCGTTTCTAGGAGGTCATTGATTTTCACCATTTTCTCTCCGCGACCTAAAATTTGTTGCAATTTTGAGGGATTTCTCCTATGCAAAAACAATGCTAAATTTGAAGATTTCTGCCCAAAAATTTGGATGTTTCCCTATACAGCGCAATGTTAAATTTTTGATTTTTAAGTTTTTCGAGTTTTATTAAAAACTCCTGAATTTCTTCTCCCGCGCCATGACCACAACATACTTATAGTGTCCCCGATTTAATGCATTTTCTTAAATCATACACGTTAAAGGGTTAAAGACAAATTAAAATTAACGTGATGAAGAGTAAAGTTAACTGTTAATTTCGTATAGTTTATTTAAATCAGAATTCAAAATCAGAGAGCATTTACTTCTCAAAAGGGTAACATTATTTTTAAGAGTGTATTTTAATAATCTGGCTACTAAGGATAAGCATTGCCAGGTCATGTTGACGAGATTTGCACCGCGTTATGCATAATTTATTCGTGACTTATAGTAAATTTGTCACCACCCTGATAATATTTTTATTTTGGACCGTAGGACCATCAGCCGGCCTTTTCACCGTTGTAGTCTCTTTATTCCTCTATTCCACCATTGGGGCCTACCTTTTCACCTTTATCGAAAACTGGGCCTTTTTCGACTCCTTCTACTTCTGCTTCATTACCATGACGACGATCGGATTTGGAGATATCATCCCGGGTACTAATATGTAAATGACACTCTTAAAAGTAAAGCTACACTTTGGAAAAGTATTTAAATTCACTCTAAAATTCTAAATTAAGTAAACTATGGTAAATCCAGAATAACTTTGACTTGATAAAAAGTAAAGTTTACTCTGGATTTAGCATAATGTGGAATTCAGAGTTCATCTACTTTTTAAAACTGTAGCATTATTTTTAAGAGTGCACAATTTCATAAATTTAAATGTATCAAAATGCAAATTATTCTGTCTTTTATGTCACAGCCAAAACGTCCTTCATCGTCCTTTACGCGGCATATTTTGTCCTTGGCTTGGCCATGTGCTCCATGGGAATCGAGTTGGTGCGAAATCAGTATGCAAAATCGTGGGAAACCATTGAGCGAGAAGTGTCTACTCATCTGCACGAGTTGTCCGTTCCATTGTCGGATACGTTAAAAAAGTGAGCTCTTTAATCGAAAAGTATGCGAAACTTTCAAAATTTTGTCAGATTTTATTAAAGACGTATTACGGAATTTAGGTACGGGGATAACATGGAGATCAAAAAGCTTGGCGATTCGATAAACGTGACGAAAAATCTCCCGCTTTCCAGAAAAAGTACAGCATCACGTTTTAAGAAAGCCAGCCCCACCAAATCACAACATGCAGATGAGGACCTAGGTCAAGCGGATAATTATGAATCTACCCTCTAACATTACATACACATTCCTCTCAATCCTACCGAGAAAGCAAATAAATAAGGATGATATCAACCCATTTGTCTGCCTTTTGTTCTGTAATTCTCACGCTCAAACAAATCGTACATTAATTTGTTACCTAAGATAAATAATAGGAGTTTTGTGTAACAGTCGATTGTAGTTTATCATTGAGAAATAATTTGTATAAACGTCCATTAATGGATGTAGATACTTTTTCGTCTCAAATTGTTAGAAAATCTGAAAAATTTTGTACCTCGCGGTTGCAGAGTGTGTTGCCAATAAACCTTGATGTTAAGAATATTAATGTCATATACGAAATGTAAACAATTCTTATGTGCAGATAATAGATATGCTTAAATAATTTAGAAATTCATGATATGAATGTATGTATTTACATACCTATAACTTTACGTCTAGTTAGTTACAGAGTTGTTTCTTATACGTGTCACTTGTGGAAGAGCATAATGTGTTACCGTAAACTTTCGACGGGTCGTTGCTTGGACCGCGCTCTTCATTTTAACTTTATGCGAAATATCATATTTTTACCCTTCTCCTTGACTGCCATCGTTCACACCCAAAAATCACTCCCTGCCTACTAAAATGAGGAGGAGCAGCAAATATCTCAATGCTGATGGGGTATTCTATTTTAACGTTAGAGACGGCGCTATAAGCACATGATCGATTTGAGTGAGTTTGGGGTCAATGAATCTGATCTTTCCTATGTTAATAATAACATGGGGCATATTCATAGGTCAGACCGAGGGGTTAGGGTCAAAATCATCGGAAAATCGATCGCATGCTTTATATACATACGGCTTCTAGCCATGAATGATTCCTGATTATTATTATCCGGTCCAACTTCTCAACTTGTGGTTATTCTTCTCAAAAACGTGATTACCTGTAAAAATTGTATACACATTTATGTACACACATGATTCTTCCCGCCCGGTAATAACGAGCATTACGGATTGATAATGGCTTATTCAATGAGTTGCCAACAAATTATTGAATGCTGGGTGAATAACTGGTATAAAATTTTCCAATGAATACATATTTATTCATTTCGTATTACGAGTAATTCTAATCACCATTCATTCTTCTCTCTATACAATTGAGATATCCATCCAATACGGCAAATTTGAGATAAAGAAAACATGAAAACAATGCAGAACTAATAAAGTTAGTTTAAAATTTTCAATATCTAAATGAATAATGAATGAATTATTTTTCATAATTTTTAATTCAAAAGATATATTTTTTAAACAGATATTCAAGAGTGAAATAGGTTTAAGAATCTAACATTTACCCCGTGAACATGTTACGGGCACTTGACCAACTCCCACCATGTTGTTGTAGGCCTATCACCTGTAGACTTCCAAGCACCATACACGTTCCTTCCATTCAGCGGATTCGTATCACTACCAATATTTAAAGGTTTAGAAATTATTGACTGGATAAATTTAAATAATATAAATTACTTTGAAAGTACAAGAGCAAACATATTTGCGTATCCGTATCCTTGCAGAGTAAAATATCGATCACTTTCAGAAATTGGTCTCACCTCTGTATAGAAATAGTAGGGAGGGTTGGGAGGAACCCGCTGAAAGAATAAACAACCTATGCCTATATGCATACTTCTCAGGATGGATTTTTCATTTTAAAGCTGTATCAAACTCGGGAAAAGTATCTAAATGAAACATTTTGTAACTCATTTGAAGACACTCCGATTTAGTATTTACACTTTATAGTGAAATTCAAGAAATCAATCAAGAACAATCAGAAGTTTAGCAATGCGCGTAATTTCATAATTTGGCGTTTCTGCAAAATTTTGACAAATTTCGCTAAATGAATAAATTTTCGGACGATGAATGTTCAAATTTAACATTTGGTTGGTATAGGAAGAATCCCTTATAATTGTCAACAGATTTTAAGCCACGGACTGAAACTGGTGAAAAAAATATTCCCGAAACGACAACTGTCTCCCCCCCAGTACCGTACATGACTACAATTTGGAAGGAGGGCTTTACATAGTCTTCCTCCCGAATTCATACAATTTCTTCGGCTTGTTTGGTCTGTCGGACTCATAGGAATAATAAGCTCTGGGTAAGATACGCATAAGTATTTGATCCCCTTTTAATGAAAAAATTGCGAAATTAATTGTAGGTTTTTTAATTAAAGGGTTCCTTAACTAATTAAGAAATTTGCAGAAACGGTCGACGTTTTGGCATATGTAGTAAGAGATACTAATGTTGATCACATAATATTTAAATATCGCCCGCTCTTATGCCCACATTGATTACTGCTTCGTTTGATTTTAGCAAATGTTTCACAAACCCAAAGTTTCCCTGTTCCTTCATGGATAAGACTAGGGTTGCCGCGGGTAGCGAAAATGCTACCCGTTACCCGACCTGCTACCCGCAGCATAACTACCTGTACCCGTACGGGTACCCGTGCGGGTACCCGTTACCCGCTACCCGTTATGAGAATTAGGTTAAAAACTAACCAAACTTCAGAATAAACTTGATTTGATCAATTATTTGTTCATTTCGGTTGATATGTAGTTTGAGATAATGCTAGGCAGGTAACGCATGCCCTGATTTGCTCGTTGATGTCACTCGTTATTTCTGACACCAAACTTTTTGGCTTACAATTGGATCGTTTTTCAAGCTATGCCCGTATTTCTTAGCGATTGATGAATTGATGTGTATCAAAAAATTAAGCCAAAAATAGGAATTACATGGCACTTATTTTTCCGTTGAATTACCAGTTTAAAGGAAACTATTACAAATACATGGGCAGAGTTCAAAGTCTCCCATGGATTTCGTCCAGTGGAGGAAAAAGATATAGAACATTTACTTAAAAATTAAACTTTGCCGCCAATATTTTTCTTCGAAGGAGCCATTCAATGGAAAGATAAGTATCACGCGATTCCTAATCTTTGACCTGACTTTCCGATATACTCGCCGGGCAATCTTGGTATTGCTTGAAAGAGGTTAAATTTTTGGTTTGATTTTTTCAAATTTTTGATTTAAATAAAGCTTTCATTCAAAAAAATTGCCTATAAGCAAATAAATTTTTCGCTTTCAATCGGATTCAGGTTTTTCATTTTCATAGCACAAATTAAAATGTCGTCAGTTTTGCATCAATAAATACACACAAAAACAAGTCAAATTATTCCTGGTATTTTATAGAAGGCTAACTATGCTTGAGAAACGATAATTGCTCCCCATTCTGGACGTTAAAAGTATTTGAGGCTGGCCTAGGCTTCTGTGGCTTCCGAAAAGAGACGTTCGTTATGAACTCTTGTTGCTGGCAAATGACAAATGTTGAAATGGAAGAATAATAAATTGAGGCCTTTGTTGGTAAATGGACTAACTTGCTGCTAACTTTCTTTATGAACTGATTTATGTGGAAAATTAAATAAAAACTAAACTACCCGTTACCCGTGCGGGTAGTTCTCGCTACCCGCAGATAACGGGTACCCGCAAGAATAGTGCGGGTATGCGGGTAACGGGTACCCAACCCGTTACCCGCGGCTACCCTAGATAAGACCGTATTCCGCTGAACCCCATGCGGACCGGAACAAGTAGGTATTATTGCAGTATTCTGAAACAAATATTTGTGCGTAATTTAAGCTGATTAACATCATTTTATCCTTTAAATACAAAGGTGTTGATTTAATTCGTCCCGATTTCTCGTGTCAATATATGAAAAATTGCACCTCGAAAACGATGAAAATTTCGAAGTAATCTTTTTTAAAGACACATTGCTAATTAATCTTTTGGTAATTTATATTAATTATGCCCTTAACCCTAGTCTTTTGTCTTTGTGCTACTTTTCGTAAGCTTGTGTCCGGTTCCAAAAAACAATTGGAACGAATTAAATCAACGCATTCAGATTTGGCTTTTTAGTACGTGAACGCTCCAGTGTCCAGACTTGGGCGAGATTGGAGCAGGAAAAATCGGATGCATTGGCGTGGATTTTGCTGCCATCGGCTAAGCTGGTGTTAAGATAGAGTCCTATCGCCTGCAGATTGTGATACTCTTTAGAAAAATATTTCCAATAGGTTAAATGCGATTCATACCAACGGTTCATTTGCAGCAACAATTAAGTATCCGGTCAATGGTGATATTGTAGTCATAGGTGGTGTGGTTGTTTCCATAGTTGTTTCCATAGTTGCCGTCGTAGGGGGTGTGGTTGTTGTTGGTGTCGTAATGTTGTTCCCCACAGTAGATGATTCGCTGTTCAATCAAGTTGTTCCTTAGTTTAATCCGAGTATATGGACTTTAAATGATAATTTGTAAGTAACATAGGAATCTTTGATTCCACGAATTCCACATTCCTCTAAATCAAGTAAATATATATAAACCTATAAATGAACCCATTTTTGTTTTCTGTGCAGCCAGCAGGATACCAATAATACAGAAATTGCGAATTAAGGGGTTATTACTCTTGTCTCGCAAATACTAAATTTGTCATTAGAACAGATTAGAAGCGTCGTGTTGGCGTGAGAATTTAGTTCACAACTCTTTAGGTCGAAATACCCCTAGTGAGGAATATATGAATGAAAGGTTTCACGTAAAATTTTCATGCCAATGCCAAATCTTTCAGTAGTGTTAATGAAAAATTTAAATTTATACTTACGGAAAAATTGAGTGCAAAAACCTATAATTCCAAATCTCTCTAATGACCCATGCTTACGTGTCAGATTCCGTCGTCGTAGTGACAATGACACAGGGGGTAAAAGCTTCATGATTGCAGACGCTTAACCCTTGATCCCATACGGTTGATGGTGCACAGCATTGCACGTACGGAACGCCATTAGAGCACTCAATGAATTTTCGGCAGTCGTAGGGATACGGTAGATAGGTGGGCACACCCTCCTCCCATGGTGGACACACGACTTCCTATTAATTGTTTAGATAAATAAGTCAATTCACGCAGTCATTTGTAGTTTGTAAAATCCGCCCGTCTTATAAATAATTTTACGAAACCGTGATCTATAAAGTAAGCGAAGTGAGTCATAGCTAAAAAATCCTGATAAGATTAGTGTGCATGGGGTAATTCACGTAGTAATTTGTAAAACCGTATATTTAGTAAAATATTTTTACAAAATAAGGCTTAAGCTCACTCTTGATCTGAATAAGTTTGCAAAAACTTGTAAGATAATTTCTCAGAAATATTGGTCAAATTTTGTTATTCTACAAAATTTTCAATGTTACCAAGGCTCGCGGTAATTGCTTGAATGATTGTTTAAATTTAATAAAATTATCAAGTATTTCTTTCCACTGGTTAAACTTACCAGGTCCTCCTTGTCCGG